GTCCATCTATGTTCGGAAAAGAGGAGGGGGGAGAAGAAAATTTAATGCTGTCTGAAAATCACCGTAAGCGTGAACACAATCAATTAAGACCCGAAATAGTTTATCAAATCCTTACAATATCTGGGATGGCTGCACACGCTGTATGTCCGTTGGTAACGGGGAGCAATGCTCACTCCCGAAAAGACGATCCGTTACAAACAGTCCCGTAGTGTAAAGCTGGGTCTCGATTCGGGGCTCGCTATATTGAAAAACTCCCCCAAATTGACGAAAGGGTTAATCGCCCAAAAAAGTGTAGACTTCAAGAAAGGGCACAAATAATTGTTTGCAATGTGAAAAATTGCCATTGTTAATTAAGCTGCCTTCCGTTCCGCTAATTATATCATAAAACAAACGCACGTTGCAAAGCGTTACATAAGCCATTAAAAATGCATGGATTTTTTTCCAAAAACTTTCTCTTCTGCATAAGTTCGCGGAAGAGGAAACTTTACATGGCATTCATTATATAAGCCCAATGTAGAGCAAGTTTGCGTGACGCCGAGCTTACATAAAAGTGGAGACACCTCCGGGCACAGAGGCAACCCTCTGAGTTCAGGCCTCCCGATCCTCCATCCGGGCTGATCCCACGGCCTGTGCCCATCCCAGCGTCTCATCATCGTGGTGGTTGTTGCCAGCTGTGCCAGGAGGTCCTATGCCCAGGATGGCACCAGAAGCGACAACAGATTCCCCAGCAATGCGAACGCCACGCACGTCCCACATGCTAACGTAGAGGAGTAAAATGGGGACGTGACGTCAGGTGTGCCGTTCAGTGCGATGACGTCACGTCTCCTAGGGTACTTAAGGGGTAAGCGGGGTCACTGTGGGAACGGGTAGAGTAAGCAGGGTGAAGAGGGAACCAGGGGTAGAGAGAGGGATCGAGTAGGGAGTCTGGGGAGAAGCCGGTGGTAGCCGTAGAGGTGCTTCTCTCTCTGCTCGGTGGAGTCGGCAGAGTCCACGATCCGACACGAGAGAGAGAGACCGGAGCTAGCCGGCAGGGACCCGGACTCAGTAGGAGCCCTAGCCCCAGGGAGTTGTGTACCCTGCTGTGTAATATTGTAACTGCTTTGATAAACCCTGGCGAAAGCCCTTAACTTACCTCTGTCTCCGAGTACGTCTGTGGGAACCTCTCTACAACTGGTGTCAGAGTGTCTGCGCTGCCATCCAACACCACCCTCTCACGAGTATCTTCTTGTCCAGCAGTAGCAGCAGCCTCATGATGTTCCCCACACTCTTGGCAGACCGGTGTTACAGAAGCCGTACTCAAAGGTTTGACATTTAGTCTGCTTTTTAATCCTCGGCAAATTGCCAGCTCATAGCCGCGAGCTTTGGCATTTTCACTATAAACGTCGCCTCTCTCGTCCCGGTTGGCCTTGCTTTGTAGATATCTTTGCTTCAGGTATGGATACAAAACTGGACAAATGGCTCTTGAAAAAAGCATAGCTGTGGACTGAGGTTTAGTGTTAGTTTTTCTAAACAAATCGAAACATTCAAATGTTTTCCTCTAGCTTTTTTTTTTTAGTCTTCGGATGATAAATCGTGCAAAAACAAAAAAATGTCGGTTGTAAGGTAACTAAAATCTTCGTCGTGAAACTTAACAAAAATGTGTCTGCATGACGGCCCGCACGCGGCAGGCACCCTTAAAATGGAAAGACCGGCACGTGAATGAGCAAAGAGCGCGGTTGTTCAATGACAGACGAAGCAGTCTCGCGCTAAGTGCTCTTCATGCGCTTGGTATGCTCTGTGCAAGCTAATTAGGCTCATGCGTGCTGTTTTCAATATCGGGAATGGCTGCACATGCAATGCCCCCTTTTTTAATTGCACAGCAATTGCGGGCGAGAATGGGTCATGTATAGAACACTGTGAAAAAAGTGCTGTTATTTAATGTGAGGATAGGTTAAGGTGCCATGTACATATTTCAAACAATGGGTTTTTGAATAACAGTTAAAATGTGTTAATCACAAAAAAGATGTGGCCTCTTAATTGTGTGCCTACTGTTTATGTATTGTTAACAAGCATTATATCCACGAGCCTAAAGAGGTTTTCAGGAAGTGGGCATTGCCTGTTGCGGTATATGGATGATAAACATGACCATTAATAAATGCGTCCGTTGATAAACACGTCCATTGTATGATGGGGGAAAATGGAACAAAAGCTGAAAAGTGAGCAAAGAAGCATGGAGAGAGACTCCTGCTGGGAAGTAAAATTAGAACACGGTGAGAGGAACAAATGGATTGGAGAACGAAAGCAAATTAGCGCTCACATATTGACTGTAACGAAATGTAACTGGGCTTGGGAAAGGCGCATCGTGGCAAGAGGTGGTGGGCCAATAGTCTTGACAACAGTGGCAGCCGAAGGATGGAATTCACCCCCAGGATGCCCACCACAGCAGATGGGTCCAGTGAGGTCAGCCCACGTGCAGGAGATAGCCGGATGGTTGCGTCATGGGACGGTGGGATGGCAATGACTTTGAGAGTCCTTCATCGAGTGCTCGAGAAATGGTGGCTGACAACGACAGTTGATTTTATGAATGCCTAACTGTACTACCGCGGCTTCCCCAGTGGCGATGTTCACACACCACACGAGTTAATTGGTTGCGGCTGAGTCGACCTAGGGGAGGCCCAGGACCGGTTCAATAATCGTCACCGGTGGTGGCCGTGAGCGGGAATCGAACTCGGGTCGCCGGGTTAGTAGCCCAGCGCGCTAACCGCTAAACTACTATGCGTTACGCTTCCACGTGCGCGGGTCACATGACAGATTTGACGTCACAGCTCACTTGCCGTGCAAAAAATATATGCATTATTGAGCTACCCCCCCCCCCCCCCAAAAAAAAGCAAAAGTGTATTTTAATACTTTTTAAATGGTGTACAGTCTGGAAAGTACCCACATGGCAAATTTCCAGTTTGTTGCATGTCGAGAAGTACGCTAAACATTTTGAACAGACACGCATATTCACAACTTTGCCTTTATATATATGGAGATGAATACATTTGAGTTCAGATCTTGTGGGCAACTATAAACCCACAATCAGAGCTTTGAAATGCAGACTTAAGGTTAGAAATCGCCACACTCACTCTGGGGTGAATGGTTTGTTGTGGTCTAGACGTCTTTTTTAATTTCTGGATCATTGAGTTTTAGATGTGAGATGGAATACCGTTTTCAATTGTTATATGGTTTTAATTTAAACATGTGGAGTCTCATAATCGAAGCTCGAAAACAGCTGCGTGGTCTACTGCCAGGCTTGGACTTTCATGCTGCAAATACAAGGGTGGCACAGTCGGGTTTTTTTACAATCGGGTCTAATTGTCTATTTATATTAAACCCGATCATCTGAGATTTGGAGAAATCCGGTATAATTGGTTCTAATTGCAGAACCGCACTTCGCCAACTTCTCAACGATGGGCTTCATTCATTCCAAGCGAAGGAACTCACTGGCGCCCACGATTGTGGAGGAGAAGCTCGTGTTCATCACGACCAACCTGCCCGCCGCATTCTACGACTACCCCGTGCCCGAGTACGATAGCAGCCTAAGCCTATCAGAGTTTCGTATTCATTAAACTAGGTTTTAATTCCACGAAATCGGGTTTAATTGTATTAAAGAAAAAACCCGATGCCTGCCGCTGGAAAAATCGGGTTTTTTCCACCCATGCGCAAATAACATTGAGAGACGGCAAGAGGAACGCATGGAGTATATGTGCCAGTAAAAGATGTAAGTTTGACCATCCAGAAGTGGATGAATCATGGCTAATGAGCAGTGACTTTGGCTTATCCTGGTGATGCCGAGATTCCCTTACCCACAGATGTACAGGAATCTGGGTAGGGAAACCAGGCGAGGCAAGCCTGGCCCCAGGGGCATGCGGCCTCATTTCCCTAAATAACATCAGGAGAGGCGAGCAGCGTGTCACGACCTCTCGTTTATGTTTTAATAATTGAACATAAACCAAGTTGAGGCCCAGTGCCCCTGGGACCAGGCCCGACTCATCTGGTTCCCTGCCCAGGTGCCCGTGCCTCCCCAGGCATGGGATTCTAGGCGTGACCGCTGTAGACCCAAGTCACTCCATCATCATCATCAGAAGCCATGGCGTGGTAATATCATCTCAATGGGCTAAGAGGCCAATGTAATCAACTGGGGGATTTTTTTTGCAAAGTTTGGACCAACCGTTTTTTTAAATGTTCTCCGGTTGTCTATCGAGTAAAGCGTCCCTAATAGCAAGACAATTGGCACGGTAAGATGTGTGCTCATTAAAGCACCGTTCGTCTCCACAAGTAATTGTGACCCAACCCACCCCTAACCCCTCTCTTATAGACGGACGAAAATAACGAATGCCTTAACGCCTACTTCCTTTGCGTCAATGCGAGACGGACAATGGCGCGCACACATTGGTAAAAGTCTGTCCACGAACCAAGGTTATCCACGGATCTTGCGACGACGGCGTTCTGACTGTGATGGAAGCTGCTGCCATTTGCGCAAGCGTGTGTGTCAAGAAAAAAAATGATGACCTCAACTTTTGTTGGAGAACGCTAATTAAACGCTGTATATCCAGCATGGAAAGTAACTTTTTTAAGGAAAGGCGCTCTGACAAATCTACGAATGTCTAAGAGTTTACGTTGACTCGGTAATCCCCACCCACTTTGCGCAAGAGCGTGGTCACCACTTCTACGCCTTTATAAGGAACGAAACGGGTGGACTTCTCCACAAATCTGGCTGTCGCCTGATGAAGCTAGTTGTAATTACTGGCGAAACGTCGTACTCGAATTGTGAATGGTGTGGCTTGGTTTTCCAACACACCGGTGTGCTGTACTAGTGACGAATTGGCACGTTCTGTTTACGTGACAACCCTTACTAGTTGGCTGTGTCGGGTGGTGGCGGGTTTTAACGACACATTTATATATTTACATGATCTAACCCAAAAAACCTCTTATGGATTTTAACCGTATTTACAAAAAAAGACACTCAACTGCAGCGATGATGATATCTCAATCTTTACTGCCACACAAGCATGCTTTTAATATGATAGTATAATTCAACAATATAGTAATTGAACTAACGAGCTTATACTCCTGGAGTTTCACTGTGTTTATTTTATAAGTGCATAAAGTCAATGGGGTTACGCCGTGGGAAATGATGACATATTTTCTCTAAGCTGCTGAAACTTCCCCTCATTAGTTTAATGAAGTCTTTCTCTAAATGATACACGTCAATTTCACTCTTGATTTGAAAACAATTTGCGCCCATTAAGACACAAGCCTTCTTAATTCCCGGTATAACAAACTCACATTAAAACCTGTTCCAAGGCAAAACATATTGTTGTGTACGTACATATGAGACCCGATTTAATGTGTTGGATAAATATGGAGTTGGCCCTGAATGTGACTTTTCAAATCAAACTTGACTTATATAGCACAATTCATGCAAAGAATGCAATGCAAAGTGCTTTACAGGACTAAATGAAGGGACTGACACAATGTAAACAACAAAAAGAATGATACGTTAACAAAATGACACATAATGAGCTTATAGTATAATAAAAAATCATAATAAGCACACAATCAGGGCAACCTAATTATAAGCCAATCTATAAAGGTTACGTTTTTTAGATGTCGTTTGAAAACATTCACCGATTCTAATGCCATCAGATCCTCGTGCAGACCGTTCCAAAGACGAGGACCACAGCAGCTGAAGGCTGCCCTCCCCACAAGTGTTTGAGTCCTCGCCTTCGGAACAACCAAGAGGACCAGTGCCGGAGGACCTGAGGGAGCTACTGGGTTCACACCTTAAACGCGCATGCCAGACGTGCATTCAGGTGCCAGTCCATTTCGTGGTTTGTCCACTTTTTCACCCAGATTTTATTGTTTGGCTTTGTTTACACAACCGTAATATGCAATAGTACACTTTGACACATTTTTGACACATTTAAGGCGATGCACTCACCAAAATCAAGACAGAAGTTGCTTGAATAGACGGGGGACCTTTTGTTAGTTTGCCAATTAAAGTCTCATTTTCATTAAATTACAGAATGAGTGAAAATTCCATCTTGGTTTGATACACAACCTGCAAATGAATCGCTATTGTTTCAAACCCATTACATGGACACATCTCGTACCATTAATAGCTCGTGTTCAAATGAGCAAAATTGTAGCATTGTTTACAATTCTGGGCAAATTTGGCAATTCCGTTGACATGGCAGTCCATTATAACAAATGAATGTTTCTGGGAATGTAATTATCTTGTTGTCCGTGAGGAGTTATTTTCCAAACATAAGCATGCTTATGTGATGACATTTGCTCAGCATTTGTTTTCACTGTGGATGAGTATTTAAGGTCATTGTACAACTTTCTAGGTCATTTGAAATGGCCGCACTAACAATAAGGCTTGTTTTCCTCCTTAACATTTTCATCGGTGAATACGAGAGAGATTATTAGAGTACGGCTAAGATTTTTGGCTTTATTTATTGTAATACATTTGATATTTTAAGGGTTCGACTTGAGCTGCATAATGTCTCAAATGAGCCATTCTGCGTGATCTTCCGTGCACATACCAATTTATATAAGTAGGAACCTCCTGGTTACACCAGCCCACAGGGGATTATTGTGTCCGTCGTGCAAGGAGGGGCTGGGTGGGGAGGGGAGGGTGGGGAGGGTGGGGCTGGGTGGAGAGGGGCTGGGTGGGGAAGGTGGGGAGGGGCTGGGTGGGGAGGGTGGGGGGTGGGAGGGTTGGGGCTGGGTGGGGAGGGGCTGGTCACCCCGTGGTGCCCTTATAAAACTCAACGTTTAACCTAATCACGCCGGCTTGTGCCCGCCAACAGTCAGGCATATTTGCGGAAAACACCACGCCGTCGTTGACCCTGGCCATTGACCAAGCAACCCAATGTGTTCCTACCAGCTCCCTCCGCAGGAATGTGTTTTACAGTTTTGGTTCCGCAGAAAATTGGGCTTGTACCTGGCAACAAAAAATTCAGGAAAATAATTTGTAAAAAGTTCACATTGGCCGCACACTGAAAGTCACAAGTGAAATCCTTGCCCATTCTTTCTTTCAAAGAAGAGCCAACTTCGAGTTAAAATGTCATGTTTTGCTACATATTCTTTGATGCAAGGTTAACTGACAAGTGAATGCCAGCATGCAATGTCTCATCGTTAACATAAAGAGACGCCGAGGAATCGCGGAGGTGGAACAGATGGATCTGCCGTGGGACTTGCAAGCTCTCAGTGCCAGGTGTGGGGCCCTAATTTAAATCCTCGCGCGACAATTAATTCCTTCGATCTGGTTATATCTGCGGAGCGCCACCTGCATTTGGAAATCCCCAAACAACCGTAATGGATGGGCCCATTTTGTGACCCCGGGAGTTTTTTTTTTTGTGCGAGGCCAATGCTAATAATGTATTTGTAAACTCGAACAATACGGTCCCGATGCTTTTGGTTCTTGAAAATTCTGCATCCACAATTACTTTATCCACCACCACGTTCGTTTATCCGCACGTGACGTGAATTTAACATTGTAGTAAAATAAGGATTTTTATACCTTTTTTCGTTACGAAGATTTAAGAACGTACATGCAAAACAACACAGTTTTGTATTTATAATAAAACTAGAACCAACTGCATATCAAGATTCTTCACAAAACAGTGTGACATAATCATTGGTATATATATATATAAAACCTGAATTGAAAACACGGATGCTGGGTGATAAATGGACGAGAACACAAAAAAGAACATTGTTCAAAGAAGCCTGAAGTCGTGCACATTTAGAATGGCACTGCGAGACAGAAACGGCAACGCATCGTTCAGAAAGAAAAAAAAGTTAGAGACATCGTCCTGACTGGTAAGGAAGAAGAAAGTGGGCATGAAAAGGGGCATGTCGCACAGAAGGATGTTTGGTCAATGGTGGCGACCTGATGATGGAGTGGGCAGCTAAAGGAGAAAACGCGCCCGTGAAGATGACCACCACTGAGATGGACCCGACGAGGTGAACTCGCGTGTCGGAGCCACGGCAATTGTCGCGGCAGCCTGGAGGAGTGGGATCAAAGCTGATGATGACTTTCGATTTAAAGCTTTCGTGACGGCAGGGATTCGTATTCTTGGTTCTTTCGGTAAAGTCACGTAGAAGGGAAATAATAAAATAATGAAGGTGCATAGTTATTTTAAATGAGAAGAGATAGCCAGGCAAGGCGGAGGAGAAAAGGAAGGTCTAAGAGTCTTGACTTGAATCTGTCAGGGAGTCGTTAGCAGGGAAAGGGATGTTTGACCTTTTCCAATTTCCTGAATCATTTCACAATCGTCGAGCCTTCATTTTTGGCTTTTTTTTCGCAGAGGGACATTTACTGCCCAGAAGTTACTTCATTAAAAAACAAGTAACTCGCACAGCACATCGCCCATGAGAGCCAGCGAGGAAGATGGACAGAAGCTTTAAATATTCTTGAGTATGTCAATAAGATAAAAGTGAAACGGGGGGGGGGGGGGGGGGGTGGTATAACAGCTACACGCTTCGAAATGATGTTTTTAAAAATGTGTTTTAATGTGTGGTGGAATTTCACTGAGAGGCAGATATGAAACATACTTCAATGCTATTTTAGTATTAAGATGGACTGAGAATGATCTGTAAATAAATAATTGCAGCAGAGCTATAGAATTACTTCATCAACCTCGCCATCACTGCCAATCCCAAAGCCAACGAAGGCCCCTGAGTTATTTGGATATTTTTATTTTCTTTTTACAAATATAAAAAAGGAGCCACTAGACATTCCAATAAGCATTTAAAACGTGTACAAAGTAAACACAGGACTGGAGGTCTCCCATACAAATTGTGAGTATTAAATAAATACATCCCCTTCCCCATATTTTTTTCTCCACGTCAAAATAAAATTAATTTTAGTCCATTGGCCTTCCACATTCGTGCACAAGCCGAAACTGCGTATGAGTCCAAGGATGGCAACAGTAGTCAGGAGTGCTTATTTAAGAAAATGTTACTGGTTTACATAGGTGTGGAAGGCGTGGGGGGGGGGGTACGAAAGATAATGTAGTTTATTTAACATGTATGTGTGTTTTAGAATTTTCTACATTATTTTTGGTATGTGTGCGTTAGAGCGTATACGTATATAGTGTAAGGTGCTGACTAGCAGCACTTGCCCTAACAGTCTGTTAAGGCTACACGGGGGTCTTCGATATAGTGTGGTGAGGAGTGGTATAGTGGTCAGCATGTTGTGCTACGATCCCGGCGACCCCCGTTCACGACCAACACCAGTGCTGATTACATGAACTGGTCCTGGGCCTCCCCTAGGTCGACTCGGCCTCAAATGAGTACCTGGTGTGGTGTGTAAAACATTGCCACAAGGGAGACAAAGGCAGCCGGGAGTGGTGCTGGCCTCCCACCTCATCGTGTGCCCCATGCTATTCACTAAAGAAAGTCTTTTATGGCTATATCTGGATCTTTGTCTTTGTGTGTCAGTATATATTTACAGTGGGTTTTTTTTATTCTGTGATGTGTGTGTGTGAATGTCATTGTGGCGTGGTGAAATGAATGGTGGTGCAGTTACACCATGCTACTTTCCTGGCAACCCTAGTTAAATTCCAAGTCATACGTATTGATGACAAATTGATATGTGAACCGGTCCTGGGCCTCCATTATGTTTACTTGGCCTTAAGTGAACGAGCTTCTGGAGGAGCATAGCTACTGGGGAGACCCAAGGCAGCATGGCATGGTGTTTTCCAAACTACATGTGGCCCTGGGCCTTATTAGTTGCTCACCAACAATGCTCACCCCCAACAGTCTGTAAGGTTAATCGGGGTCATCTTTGTCATTGCATCGGTACCACGTTTGACATTTCTTTTACACTCGAAAGCGAAGCTTGTTGGCAAGTCCCGCTTTACGCTGTTGACGTTCGCGCGATGTCCCCAGGGTCATCGATGGCACGGCAGGGTGGCACTGCAGGGCGTCATCGACGGCACCGGTGACCTCCGGACTGCCGGCGGGGTCAATAGGCGGGGGGGGGGGGGTCACAGCACCCTGTAGTTCCTGTTGGTGATGGCGTTGGCGGAGGCGCGGGCCGGATTGTTGCGCTCTTCGATGCCGTAGCGAGCCGTGTGCATGCGAGAGGCGGCGCGGTAGGCAGCAATGGCCAACAGAATGAGCAGCGCGGCGCCCAGCAGCACGCCCAGAACGATCGTGGCGATGCGCCATGGGGTGATCTCGGTCCCTGTCGTCGGCTCTGTCGCCGTCGCTGCGCGGGAAGGGCGGTGGACAAGGGCACGATCGCTCGGTTAATTGAACACTTCCATATTTTTTTTTCACGGGGCGTAATATCGGCCTCGTTGGACGAAAATATTTTCACGTCCGGCACACCACATCGAGTATACTTTTCGCTATGGCTGTGGCTACCGTTCACATGCCTATTACCGGTCTACCAGCGACCCAGGAAATATATAGTGAGAAAGAAGCCCTGTGTTTGTAATACATGCATTGTCCACGTGAAAAAAAAAAGTGACTTTCAGCTCTTTTTCAATAAACTGATGGATGAATGTCTCCGTTGTGTCGGTTATGGGGGTTGTTTAACCATACTTCACCACGCCGGTCAACACAGGTCCCTGAGGATGGGATGCCCGGTATCCACTCGGTACCAACTCAGTACTGGACGTGTGTGAAAAATAGCTTTCGTAGCTCATCGGATTCCTCCGGCATTAACACATTTTCTGATTCTGAAATGTTTCTCATCACGGAGAAGTGCGCTAACCACTGTGCCACCGCTCCGTGCAGTACAAAGTAAAATTTAACCAAATTCTCGAGATGGTCTTGTGGCAACAGGATGGGAGCACTGAGCCAGAACCTGAGGCCCTGGGTTTAAACGTGGGTTTAAGTCACCCATGGTTAAACCGGGTTACGTGATATCGTATTGGTTTCAGCCCAGTCACCAATGACCGCACAACAAAATTTTTAGATTTTTTTCACTTAATTTCGAAGAATTCCAGTTCTTAAAAATATAACTTTTACTACGACTACTACGCGGCATTTTACTGCAGCGAAGCATCGGGGGGGAAAGTGCAGTGCCCTCTAACGTGCAGATAAAGAGGTCACTTGGGAGGGGAGCACTGACGAATTTCTGTGATATCCACTTGTGCCGGACATTCTGCGACGGATGCATAGCTCCACCAGTTGCCGAACGGACACTTTCACGAAATATTTGCCGACGTCGAATTTTGGCGAGCGAAGAGTATCCAAGGACCACCCTGATACCGCCCTACCTACCCAATGAATACAGCAAACAAGTAAGTACACATCAAGGCCGTAGCCATGGAGTCAACATTGGGGGGGACCAATCTTCAAGGGGTCTGGGGTCCCCCCCTAGAAAAAAAATCTACATTTGAAAACTAATTTCCTGCCTAAAATATTTTAAAAAATCACTAACACATGGGATGGACTTTTTATTTATTTTTTACAATGTCTAATAGTGTATTTTATTACATTGCTCAGTTTTTTATGTTTTACCTTTTCTTGTTTCATTGTATATAATGGCAGATATCAGGGATTTATAAAGTACAACTATAACCACAATCATATAAACATAAATCTATGCATTGTTATATGAAGACAAGTCCAGATATTGTAGCCAAGGTTTATCAAATTGTTGTTTTTATTTACAAAGCATCGCGATTTTAATTTTTAAAAATATTTTTATAGCAATATATTGGGGGGGGGGACATTCTGAGCATATTTGATTATTGGGAGGGTGTCCCCCCCCCAATTTCTATTATAATTACGGTCTTGGTACACATGCTTGCTTTTTTTTGTACACCTTTTTAATTGGACGAGTAGCATATTACAAATTAAATGTAACTACAAATTCAAGAAAGGCCCCCTCCCTCCTGACAGTCAGATGGGGCCACTCTGAGCTTGAGGACAATCATAGCGGGAGCATGTTGATGCCACGAGAAAACTTTCTGAACGGCTCCTCGGTGAACCTCTTCTGCCAAACCATCAGAGGGCGCTCTATCTCGTGCCGTCAGATGCATTTCCTCTCATTTATAAATCCATTTAATGCGGGCCTAAGCCACAATACGTGGGGAAATATTGTTCAGCGGTTAAATAAAAAAAATGTTTTTTGTATAATTTTGTTTACCTTTCCTATAATTTGCACTCCGATCGTGTTTTTGTAATTTTTTGTTGTTGCAACTTTCTGACCAGCCCCTACTGGACATCTGTGAAAAAAGCTTAATAGCTCATCGGATTCCTTCAGTATGAATAAATATTCTGATTCCTTTAAAGAATGGGCTGAGATGGGTTAGGGGCGGGGGTTAATCAGGGGGGGGGAAGGGAAAATAAAAGGATAAAGTCGGACAAGATATACCCATGACAGCTGCTGAAAAGGGTACCTTCCGTGTTCACAGCTACAAAACAAATACAAAAATTTCCACTTAAAAATCTCTGCTCGTGGAGGCAGATATGACTCTGCGCGGTGACTTTCTGGGTCACAGAACACGGGGCTCTGTTCAATTCAATCTTCAAGACGCCAGGATTTAGCGAGACCGACGTCTGACTTTGACGAAAGCGCACACGCACGGAACGTGTGCTTGGCTAATTCTTACCGGAGGTCGTGGCGGCCTTATAGTAAATGGGCCCCATATCGATGACGTTGTCGTTGGGCGATGATTCTCGCTCGGACCTGATGTACGACGACCTGGAACTTCCACTGCATACCTGGGTAGGGGGGCAGGTGGCAGAAAGTTGGTGCAGAAAGATGACAAGTAAGTCGGGATTCATATTCTTGGTTCTTTCGGTAAAGTCACGTAGAAGGGAAATAATAAAATAATATAAAACAATACAAATTCTCACGACGTTTTGACTGCAACATAAGCAATCATCATCAGGTGTGAAATCCACAGCAAGATTTCACACTTGATGATTGCTTGTGTTGCAGTCTATTTATATTATTTTATGATTTCCCTTCTACGTGACTTTACCGAAAGAACCAAGAATATGAATCCCTGCAGTCACGAAAGCTTTAAATCAAAAGTAAGTCGGGCTTCAACCGAAGTTCTTCTGATGTAGCACCCACCGTGTTGATCTGGCAGGTAACGCGATTGACTTTTTTTTGAGTCCATTACCTTCACCCATGAACGCCTGCTGTTTTCTCGTTTCCCCTAGAGGGGAGCTCGCAAAGCATCTGGCCAAACAATGCACCAATTGCGCAAGCGGCCATCATGGTGTAGTCTCAATTATGTGGGTTGTCTAAACAATAACCAGTTTGCGTAACGCGTCTTGGTTTTCAGAAATAATCCTGTGCAGTGTGTGTGTGTGTGTGCTCACATGGGTATGTGTGTCTGCCGTTCATCTCAGTAACTCATACCACGTGGTACTGTCCCATGACCTCCTACCATTGAGCCTTCGACACTTCACGTGGCCTCGAATTCCGGTTGCTGAGTGAATACATTATAAGGTCACACTGATTACAGGCGTGCTAGCGACAAATGCGGTTGCACCCGATTCAAGAGCCGAATGGCTCACAGGGCTATACTTAATAAATGAACTTGAACTTGAACACCTTGTTGATCTCGTCACGGGGTATAAACCAGCATGCAAACTCTGGTCATCCTCGCAGCTTTTCGCTGGCCATCGAACAAAGACGGTCACCGCATCGCGCGCTCTCAGATGTGCTTCTGCGGCCGTCTGGAACGCTCTTCCTTCCCATATTAGGAAACCACTGGAGCTACGCACTTTTAAATCTAGATTGAAAGATCATTTCTTTAGGACTGCTTTTAGTGTTTAGTTGCTTGTCCTTCCGCACACCTTTGATTAGCACGTTTGGCTACATGCAAAGTGAAAGAAGTTCAACGTTCATAGATACAAATTGCAACCCTGCCACCTACGCTGTGTGTGCTATGTGCCTGTGTAATGACCGAAAATTTACCCCAAGCCAATATGCAGCTTAACAGCTGTTTGAAAATAAACAAAGGTCTTCGATGGTCAGGAGGAAAACATTAAAAGGGATTGGAGGAATAAGGTTTGAACGAGATCCATCTGAAAACCGAGAGAGTATCCGTGAGAGGAGAAGGACAGAGATTGGCTAAAGAAAACTCCGCCCCCCACCAAAAAACAACCTCTTATGGATGATATTGGTCGCGAAAGCCTACGTGTTCAACTTAAAAAGGACAATAAGGTTCGAGAAAGGGGGCTGAGGAATATAAAGGGGAGAGCACGATGAGTGGGGGCGTTAGGAGGAAGTCGCAACCTGGAGACAAGCACGAGGCCTAGGTTCCTTTATTGTGGCTGCGGCCCAATAAAAGTGGCTCTTGATACTTCGTCGTCAGAGTCGTCACACATGTCCCAAGCGTTCTACGAGTCTATACGGGGGACTTTTGTCTTTTTCTGTCCGTGTGTGTCTGTGGGGAGCGGTAGTGTAGCGATTAGCGTGCTGCGCTATGAACCTGGCGAACCGGGTTCGATTCCCGCTGACGGCCAACACCAGTGACGATTTTCTGAACCGGTCCTGGGCCTCCCTTAGGTCAACTCGGCCTCAAATGAGTCCCTGGTGCGATGTGTAAACATCGCCACTGGAGAAACAAAGGCGGTCGGGCGTAGTGCTAGCCACCCACCCCCTCGTGTACCATTCCGAGCCTTCATAGGTGCTCACTAACAGAACTTGCCCCTACAGTCTGTTAAGGCTATATGGGGGATCTGTGTCTTTGTTTTTTGTGTCTGTGTGTAACAGCAAACCTGGCACTCTGAATTCAATTCTTGATCACTGCTCACGTCAGTAGCCAGTGGTACCTGAACCTATCCTGGGGTGCACTCTTGGTCTGCTCAGCCTGGCACGAGTACCTGGTGCAGTGTGTACACTAACAACCCTGGGTGAGACGAAGTCGGCAAGGTGCGTTGCTGAACACGCCTCTCCGTTGTGCACCGTGTCGGCCTTCATAGGCAACTCGCAGTGCTTGGCTCTGCAACAGTCTCTGAGAGCCCTTTAACTGGTGACATCTGAAGCGTATGCCTGGATGTGCGAGGGTGTATTAGAGAGTGAATAAATGTGCGGAGCGTGTGAGCATCAGTGTTTGCGCGCGTTAGTTTGTGTGTGCACGTGACGTTTTGTTAGTGTGCGCGCGAACGACATATTGACATAAGCCACGTTTGATCCATGAACCAGAACGTGATTCGCCGCAATTCTCACCATGTAATAGGCCCATCACCAATTTCTTTGGTGATGGCCCTTAGAATGTGGAATCGATAGAGATAATATTTGATGTAGTGATATGGGAAGCTTGACCTCGCCGTGATAAAACCACCTCATTATTGTGACATCTACTTTCCTCTTTAATTAATAGCGCGTGCTTTGGGCGGGCTGCGTGTAACGATGTCGCATCTTTTTGGTAAATTCAATTGCACGTTCCGGTAGCGCTCGCTCACTTGTTTTACGACGCTTCGTTATATGCAGCATTTTTAAGAGATAATATTTTTTTGTCCCCGGTATTCGAGTGCTATCGGTGGCCCAGCAATGGCAGAACATAAGCGGCGATCTCGACACCAAATCTCGGGGCATAATTTATTTTAACAAATGTTGATTGTTTTTTCCTTCATTCTCACAGCATCCAAGGTTGTCCAGTATCCCGTCTTGCCTCGCATTTTTATAGCCATACCGTGGAAACTATGCCAGAGGAAAATGAGCAAAATAATCCATGGCATCTCGGTTGGCAACCCCAGGAAGAACATTGCTCACATGAATAAAGAGAGAATAAATAAAGCATGTGGAACAGTAGGGATTGTGGAATCTTGCTCACGAATACATTTGAAGCTGCATGCAAAAAAAAACTATTTCACAGCAATGCCGCATACAGCATTTATACCACAAATGAATAAATAACGGTCATCTGGTGGTTTCCGGCGTTAGAAAAATCCAGCCCTGCCAAGTGGACAGAGTTGCTGAACTGAGCCGTAGGCCACCGGCTCTCCGCTTCCTTATTCTGAACAGAACCGCGATGCCTCCCTCTCGTGCCAACGGGCGGGGATCGTCACTGGAATGCTTAACTTCTGGCCAACTTGAAAAAAAGACACCGTCTCCTCTCACCTCCGTTGTATCCTGCCGTATGGTGGGGGTTGGGAAAGGGTTGGAACCGTCTGCACTGAACAACGGCCATCGTCATCCCCTCCGTGACAGCGTCCGGACAGGGCTTGACCGAAACTGTGGTCAACGCGACTTGCCGCGGTGCTTCTCTTCACGTTTACCAATCTCCTCTGGGCGGTGACGTGGGCCCAGTGGTATGGACAAGGCTCGATTATTGCAACTCGCTACTCTACGGGACGTCTGGCAAAAAAAAAAAACCGAGCTACGGCGCGTACAACATTCTTGGGCACGCGTCGTGACGGGGTGCCGAAAGATCCGACCGCGTCCGCCCGGTGCTCGCTGAGCTGCGTTGGCTTCTGGTTTGCGAACGAATACATTATGAGGTTGCACTCATCACGCACAAAGTGCTTGCCACAAATGAACCACAAATCCTTGCTAATTCTCATCAAGGAGCATAAACCATCACGCGAACTCCGGTTATCCTCGCAGCAGCAGCAGCAGCAGCGGCTTTTAGCTAACCATCGAACGAAGACGGTCACCGCATCGCACGCTTTCAGGTGCACCTCCGCCGCCGTCTGAAATGCTCTTCCTTCCGATATTAGGAAGCCATTGGAGTTATGCACTTTTAATATCGTCTATATTGACAAACTCATTTCTTTAGAACCGCTTTTTGTGTCTAGTTCGTTGGCCCTTCACCGCACCTCTGATGCACGCGGTTGGCTACGTACTGTGCGAAAGAAGCTCAACGTATACGCAAACATTGCAGCGTAGTGTCTGCAGACATTCTGGAACCCGGTTAGGAGACCCCTCCCAGTTGATGATAAATGCAAAGCGATGTTAAAAACGGTGACTTACGGGCTTGCAATTCTGGACGGTCGTCAAGCAGATGCCGATGCTGCAGTGAATGTAGGTCATCGTGTAGTTGACGTATTTGTACAAGGTGAGTTCGAAGCTAGCTGTACTGGACGTGCCGCTCTCGATGATCTTGAGGTCCGTGTTTGTGGTTGCGCATCTGGAACACGGCATACGAAGCAGAAGGAGGAGCTGCTGAGTCAAAAAGGTTCGGCAGCAGTCTAGCCATCTGATACGGAATCTGTGTCGGCACATGTGGTGAGTGACACGCAATATGACAAGTTTGTTAACGCAATTATTGAGTTGTTTGGGTATGTATTTCTCCACAAATTAGGCTGTCACTTGATGAAGCTAATTGCAATTGCTGACGAAATGTTGTATTCAGATTGTAATTGTTGTGGCTTTGCTCTCCAACACACCGGTGTTGCTGTACTAGTAACGAATTACATGTTCTGTTTTCGTGACAAACCTCACTAATTGGCTGTGTCGGGTGGTGGCGGGTTTAACGACACATTTATATATTTACGCTGATCTAATCCAAAAAACCTCTATTAATTAATGTATGTCACGTCACCAACAATCACCCACCTATCATTGCCCTAAATCTCATCCGATCACAGAAGCTAAACAGCGTTGAGCTTATTTCGTACCAGGTGTTATATAAAAACTAAACAATTTATATTTTACCAGGTAAGGCCCACTGAGCTTTGTAACTCTTTTTCAGAAGTGACCTGGCCACGAAGTGGCTTATCACGTGGATATATATAGCAATCAAATACTCTGAACGCGCGATGTTGATTCTAAATGTGGAGGGAAAAACCGGAGGACCCGGAGAAAAATCCACGTGACCACGGGGAGAACGTGAAAACTCCAAATATACAGCAGCAGGCGTCAGAGTCGGGACCAAACCCACAACCTCCTGTATACCAGGCAAGGTAGTTAACATCTCCTAGCCACCGTGATGATGATGATGAGAGAGAGAGACACGCAAACTCCAAATATACAGCAGCAGGCGTCAGAGTCGGGACCAAACCCACAACCTCCTGTATACCAGGCAAGGTAGTTAACATCTCCTAGCCACCGTGATGATGAGAGAGAGAGAGCTGCCCCCCATTGCTCTGCACTGCCCGTTCCGCTCTCTGCGGTCGGTGGTACACGTGTCATGTGTACGTACGTTGAACTTATTCCGCATCGTACGTAGCCAACCGCGCTAATCGGAGGTGCCCTCTCACTTGTTGGCGATGAGTTCCGTTCGCTGAGCATCCGTCTGGCTGGGCCCGGGCGTGGCCCAGCACGTCTGCATCACGGCCGTGATGTTCGGGTTGGCAGACGCGATGTTCACTTTGATGACCAGCTTGTCGTTGGCGCCCAGGACGGGCGCGGTGGACAGGGAGCTGTCGTTCTGCCACATCTGCAGTGACACGGAGTACCAGCCCGTGCCGTACACCGTGTCGTTGATGACGAAGCCCCTTGTGGGATGGGTGGGTTGTGTGGGTTGGGGGGGATAATGTGGGAAAATATTCTTAGGTTTTTTCAGTAAAGTCACGTAGGTAAAAAATTTAAATTAATAAAAGTAAAATAAAACAAAATAAAAAATTCACGACGTTTCGGAAGCAACACAAGCCTCCGTCTTCAGGTGGAACTGTCACAGCCACGACAGCTTTATTAATTTACCGAAAAAACCTAAGAAAATGAATCCTTGCAGTGACGAAAGCTTCAAATCTAGAATTAATGTGGGAAAAGGCGTCGGGGTGAGACATGCATTCGGTGGAGTACACAGGAGAAGAAGGCCTCTCGTTAGAATCGCCCAGGCAGGTATCTTGAGAATGGAAGATCATTCACGCGTTTCTCCACTGCTGGAGATGTACTGTAGAACTCTCTCTTAACGACGGGAATTTGTTCCATGAAACCGGTCGTTAAGTGACTTGGTCGTTAAGCGAGTAGATGTTTCCACTTGAAAGCGCAGCAGACACTGAATGTAAACAATGCCCTAACACTCACTAATGGACGTCGCTGATTGGCCGAGGCCTGGTCATACCACTTTGGAGTTCACCGATTGGCTGAAATTGGCGGTCGCCTGCCCTTCGTAAGCCCGTCATTCACAGGGTAATGGTTGCTAAGCTAACACATTGGGCTCTATGGAGGCCCGTCGTTAAGCGATTAGTCGTTGACAGGGGTGGTCGTTAAGAGGATATGCATGCGCCAAAAAGATGTGCACTAATTGAGCATATTGCCACAAGACAGAAGAAATTGGAGGAAAATGATGAAATGTGCAGTGAACACCTTAATGGGCTATCTGCCCAAGAATCGTGATGATGATAATGATGATGTATGTTGAACTTCTTTCGCACCGTACGTAGCCAACCGTGCTAACTGGAGTTGCGGGGAATCGGAGTTGCGGGATGCATTGGTCGACCGGCTGCGTTGCGACTGCCTTACTACTTGGCCGAAATCAAGTTGGCCGGACGTTGAACCGTTTTGACCAAAAAACACTTGCCCTAGGTACGGCGTTAAACTATGCCCGGTGATGTCATTGAAAAGACGCTGGCGAGGAAGACACGGAGATACCGGCTCGGCTGTCTTTACCCTGGGCATGGATCAGGAACCCGAGTGGATGTTGTGTGGGGTGAAGAGGGGGAGTGGGAGGGGATGGGATTGCAGGGAGCTGGAGCCAGGGGATCGATCCTTGAGCAGAGAGGATGAATATTAAACTAAAAGAACTAATACCAAAACTACTCCACCTCCGGTGAGCACGGTTGGCAATGCATGGTGCGAAAGAAGTTCAGCATACGTATGTAAAGTGAATCCACTGCTGGATGAGCATCTCCCTACGCCGTGTTGGTCATGGGGGTTGGATCGTTTCACCGCACTGCACCACGGCGGTCAGTGCGGGGGCGGGGTATGGTGAATGGAAGCGACTTGGCACGGACATCGCTCGCCGTTGACAGAACCGGGAGTCGAACTCGGCTTCGCGGGGGTTTTCGTACCAAAAAAAAAAGAACGTACTGGGTGGGACGTGTTTCACGCAGGGGGTATAATTGGACATTTGACATTTGTGTGCGGCGGGTAAAAGAGATGAAAGGCCGAGGTGAAAGGGATGTTGGGTGATCGAGCGGAAGGGAAAAATAAGGGGGGCCATTCGTGGAAACGAAGGGGAAGGATGGGGGGGGAGGGGGTGACAGCCGAGGCCCTCAGCCGCGACGGAAGATCACCAAAGTGAATCGTGCGCCGCGCCGGACGTGCGGATGATTATGCGTTTTTTTTTTTTGGGGGGGGGGGGGGGGGGCGCACACGTGGTACCCCTTACCCCGAGACCGGGAAGCCCGTGGAGGTGTTCACGTTGTTGCTGAGCGCGCAGAACACGGCGATGGAGAGCAGGGAGGGATCCCCCACGGCGGTGCCGCTCTTCAGCGTGTTCGTCAGCAGCGTGTGCGTGATGTTCTGCGGAGGAAAAACGCACGCGGCCACGGTTGTCGGGTTTTTGCAGTGGGGGGGGGGGGGGGGAGAGGTTGACGCTCTGAGAAGGCGGCAAAAGGTGCTCGAGGGAGGGGCGGGAAAGGCCGCCAATGTCTCGGGTGTCACCTGGTTGTCCGTTTCGAAGGCTTTGCCGTTCAGAAACGTCTGCAAGTCACAGGGTTCGCGGCTGAATCTCGGAACGCGCGGGCGGTTTCGGCGTTAATTTCATTTTGGAGAGGTGTAGCGCCGTTGTTTTTAAAGGTGTTGTGCTCGCCGCGGAGAACTGTCGCGACACGACCGCCACTCCCTCTAGGATAGTTGGCGCAAAACTGTGCGACACGCCCTTCCCCGCACGGCTCTGTGGGATCCTCATTACCGATAAAGTTAATTTAGTTTTTTTTTCCCCCGATTCCCAATTGGCATTGCGATAAACCGTACACATCCGTCATCGGATACAGTATAAGGGTTAAGTAGGAAAAAAAAACTTAACTTATTTCGAGTCGAAATTTGTGTTCATAGAATTTGCATAACTTTCCACATTTTCGCAATCGTATCGCTTCTCTTCAGCAGTCACTTCCGTGTAAAATTACGTGCCTGTAATTGGATGGATTTCCAACTGTGTAGCACATTTTGACTTTAAAATGTATTCGCCGTGTTCCAAGTGCATTTATTTGAAAAAAATATTCAGGTAAGCTACGTTGTCAGTAATGTTGCGAGCAGTTTTGGAATACATTATCAAATTAGTATCCGTACCGTAGTTTTTTCTTTTCTTAACAACCTTTATGCAAATAAATGGCATTACTTCAAATTTTAAAAGCTAAATGTAAAAGCCAGAAATGTCGAGTCCATCTTAAACGCTCTAATTCCTCATTTACCACAACAACAACAACAACAAAAACATGAATCTGCACTGTTTTCCTACCTCCTGCTGTGCATCTGTGTCCTCAAAACAATTTTCTAACTTGGGAAGAAAATCGAATACGATTTTAGCGAAATGAAAACAAAACGAAGTGGGGTGGATGACTGAGCGGCAGTTGATGCAGGCGGTGTGTGCGTGCGCGTGCGTGCGTTCACGCGCGCGTTCAGTGAGTGAGCGCCCGTATCAACTGTCAAATGAGAATGCGTGGAATTAATGGCCGTTGCATTTTGGTCCAAATATAGACCCGCGTCGCGAAAAATCCATTTTTTTGCCCCGATGCGTATACGAATTTTAGTTGTTGTTGTTGTATAATTAATGTATATTTCTCAGATGTGTTATGTTTGTCGTGGAAAACGGTGTGGTTTTTTTACTGGTGAAACCCGACTTAAAAGCTGCTAAGCTCACAGGGTACTTAAAGAAAAATCTACTGAAATTGATTGTGCAACACGTGACCTGTCCTATGCACCGCTCGCGACAAAGGACGCGCAAAACATTTCAGACGATCGGGCACAATTTGTGTCATTCGGGAAGGAAAGAATGCAATGCGTTTTTGTTTGCGCAGATGTTCCGTGGTTATTATATTATAATCAGCCTGTAAGGAGCAGTTGTGTATTTTTTTTTGTTGCAAAGAAAACAAATGACGTGGTTTTAATGTTCGCTAATTACCGGCTTGTGCTTAGGGTAATGTCTTAATAGGTGATGAAAGTTTGTGTTCATGGCGACGACTTCTCAATTATATGTACAAAAAATGTTTTGCTTTGATTACGCATCGCATTAATCACAGCCACGCAATTACGTAAAACATGATTGCACTTCAAGAATTTGACATTATTTCAAACAGAATTGAAGTTAGATTTTTTTTGGCGTCTGTGCATTCTACCCCCCTCCCCAATGTTCCACGAGGTTACTTACTTGAATTTAAAAACAAAGATGATGATGTTGACGTAAGATGATGACCATAATGTGGCATAAATTATGATGTCTTGGATAGTAACGGCAAAGATTGTGCATATAAACAATGATCATGGTAATTGAGTGCAGATATATGGGGTGTCCATGAATCTGTCGTACTTTATGCAGCACATGTATATAATTAGACAGCGGTGAAGTTAAAATGTTGATATCTCATGCAACACAATTGGTTGTTTACCGATTTCTCTTTGCTTCGTTGCTCTACATTGCTGTGTTTATTTTGCTTTTATATAACTTTGGCAACCCGGGTTATTCGTGCAAACGATGACTCATCTCCTGTTCTCTTGAGTTCTCACATTGCCCAAAAGATTGCCTGTGTTATTTTACTTTTGGTCCTTTTTAAGGCCGCAGTGGTACTGACGAACGTGTTGATTTCGTTTTATTTTTTCTGTGAATGATGCTTGTGCACTACTGCCAACGCAGCAGTGTGGTCCAAAAGAACTCCACCTTAACATGCTTTGTGTGTGCCTATTCGCCCCTAGCAGTTTCAGTCTGAAACTGAGAAATAGGAAAAGGGAGTTCACACAGATCTGGGGCCCCCTCGTGAATGCGACTCCAGATAACCTGAGTTTACTTGACTGATCTTGTAATGCGACTGACTCTCCCCCCCCCTCTTTCCACCCCCTTCCTTCCCTGAAGAAAAGGGATCTGACGCACCACGTACCACATAACGCTACGGTCCTACACGCAATAATAATAATAGTTCAATTTGTAACGCGCGCAAATTTGCAGACGTAGTGGCCGCAACTCAGAGGCGCGGAGCCAAGCTCAGAGTCGCTCGAAAGCATGATTGTAGAGGTGAGTTTTTAAGTTTCTCTTGAAGGAGGCGATTGAGGTGATGCTAGCGAATGTGCAGAGGGATATCGCTCCAGACTGTTGGGGCTGCCACCGAGAAGCGGCGCATAGACGTGACCATCCTGGATCTTGGTATCGAGAGGAGGTCGTGAGTCGCGCTGCGCAGGCATCTGCCGTGTGCTGAGCTGCAAGTTGTCTGTCCGAGCCATCTATCCCACTATGCCTCCACTCACTCACCTGTCGTGGAAGTTATACACCTCCCCCCCCTACCCGTGGTTGGATCAATACATTTTTTTTACGAAAAATAATGCTTTATCGCACGACAAAAGCAACCACACGGGGACCATCATATCTCGACGCTGTGCATCACCACCACCGTAGCAGACACACGCTGAGGTTTAAAAGTCAACTAAACTTTGTATTCTACCAGGTAAAGGCCCCCTGAGCTGTGTTGCTCTTTTTCAGAAGCGACCTGGCCGTCACAAATGATAGCTCGGCGAAGTGGCTTCTCACGTGGACATTTTAGCAGCCAAATACTCTACTAGACGCGTGACGGTGATTCTAAATGTGGAGGGGGAAAACTGGAGGACCCGGCGAAAAATCCACGTGACCACGGGGAGACGGACACGTAAACTCCAAATATACAGCGGGCGTCAGGGTCGGGATTGAACCCACGACCTGCTGCACACCAGGCGAGGGAGTTGACATCTCTGCACCGTCGTCCCCCAAGGGAAACTACCACGTGTGTGGGTGTGTAGTAAACGATTGCCTATGAATTATTTAAAAAATTAATGATTCCTCTCTGGACACCCAGAATTTGCGACATGGACTGTGACGACGATGATGATGCACCGATGAACATTTTTTTTTGCCGTGTATTTGTGCGACGACGAAATTCTAATCACGACTATGGCATCGCCGATTGCGGCGACGAACTCGACGATTACGACGAATCGTGACGACGGCGACGACGGCGACGGCACCGACACTCACGCTGCTGACTTTCGTCCCGCAGTTGCTCCACGCCGATTTGAACTCGAGCGAGTCGGACGTCGCTCCCTGCTGCGCACCGCAGCTCTGCAAGCCCAGGTAGACGTCCGACTGCTGCACCCCCCACAGGGCGAGCTTTGCCTTCGGCATCCGCACGTACAGGTACGAGCCGTCGCACGTCACCGTTAACGCAGACGCCGGAAACGCCGTGGGCAGAGTCGACTGCGGATGTGGCACGGCGGTCAACGACGCGTTGCTGGCAGAAGCTGGTGCGGTGGTGGTGGTGGTGGCATTGGCTATGGTTGTGGTAGCGGTCACTGTTGTGTTGTTACCGCCAGCAGCTTGTGTGGCAGTGGTGGTGGTAGCGTTGTTGTTGGGCTTGGTTGTGGCACCGGGTACTGTTGAGTTCACGCCGGAAGCTGGTGTGGTGACGTTGTTGTTGGGCTGGGTTGTGGCACCGGGCACTGTTGAGTTCACACCGGAAGCTGGTGTGGTGGCATTGCTGTTGCGCTGGGTTGTGGCACTGGGCACTGTTGAGTTGACGCCAGAAGCTGGTGTGGTGACATTGTTGCGCTGGGTTGTGGCACTGGGCACTGTTGAGTTACTGCCAGCAGCTGCTGTGGTGACGTTGTTGTTGCGCTGGGTTGTGGCACTAGGCACTGTTGAGTTGACGCCAGAAGCTGGTGTGGTGACATTGTTGCGCTGGGTTGTGGCACTGGGCACTGTTGAGTTACTGCCAGCAGCTGCTGTGGTGGCGTTGTTGTTGCGCTGGGTTGTGGCACTGGGCACTGTTGAGTTGACGCCGGAAGCTGGTGTGGTGACATTGTTGGGCTGGGTTGTGGCACCGGGCACTGTTGAGTTGACGCCAGAAGCTGGCGTGGTGAAGTTGTTGGGCTGGGTTGTGGCACCGGGCACTGTTGAGTTCACGCCGGAAGCTGGTGTGGTGACATTCTTGGGCTGGGTTGTGGCACCGGGCACTGTTGAGTTGAAGCCGGAAGCTGGTGTGGTGACATTGTTGGGCTGGGTTGTGGCACCGGGCACTGTCGAGTTGACGCTGGAAGCTGGTGTGGTGACATTGTTGGGCTGGGTTGTGGCACCGGGCACTGTTGAGTTGACGCCGGAAGCTGGTGTGGTGACATTGTTGGGCTGGGTTGTGGCACCGGGCACTGTTGAGTTGACGCCGGACGCTGGTGTGGTGACATTGTTGGGCTGGGTTGTGGCACCGGGCACTGTCGAGTTGACGCTGGAAGCTGGTGTTGTGATATTGTTGGGCTGGGTTGTGGCACCGGGCACTGTCGAGTTGACGCTGGAAGCTGGTGTTGTGATATTGTTGGGCTGGGTTGTGGCACCGGGCACTGTTGCGTTCATAAGGGAATCTACTGCGGTGACGTTGGGCTGGGTTGTGGCACCGGGCACTGTTGAGTTGATACTGGAAGCTGCTGCGGTGACGTTGGGCTGGATTGTGCTGCCTCCTGGTGCCACCGTAGAGCTGGGCTGGGGGTTTGTGTTCACTGACGGGGCAAGGAGAACGAGATGTTTCAAGTCAATGGCTGAGAATCGTAATTCTCTTCACTTAGTATTACTGTCATCACATTTATCACAATGCACTCCGTGTATTGGAAATCCGCAATAAGCATGAAGACTCATAATGTGTTTTTATTCCAAGAGATTCCTGCAACATTGGGATGTTTTTGGGCCAATTGCCGCTTGGTGAGCGTTTGGCTTCGAGGGGAGATAAACCGAGGGGGGGGGGGGGGGAGAAACTCACCACAGACACACGGGGGGGGGGGGGGGGGCTTGCCACTCAAAGCTGTGCACAGGGGCGCTATGGTGGCTAGGAGATGTTAACTACCTCGCCTGGTATGGAGGAGGTTGTGGGTTCGATACCGACCCTGACGCCTGCTGTATATTTGGAGTTTGCGTGTCTCTCTCTCATCATCATCACGGTGGCTAGGAGATGTTAACTACCTCGCCTGGTATGCAGGAGGTCGTGGGTTCGACCCCGACCCTGACGCCTGCCGCTGTATATTTGGAATTTGCGGTGTCTCTCTCTCTCTCTCCGTAGTCGCTTGGATTTTTCTCCGGGTCCTCCGGTTTTTCCCCCAAACACTTTTTCGAATCGACGTCACACGTTTCGAGTATTTGGTGATGATCAGCCACTTCCGCTTTGTTGAGCCATCATTTGTGAAGGCCAGGTGCCTTCTGAAAAAGAGCTACGTAGCCTAGTGGGGCCTTACCTGGTAAAATAAAAAAAAACTTTAATAGTTTTAGTTTTTTATTTAGATGGATTGCAACCACAATGCTGTGCTGCAATCTCCCAGGAAACCCTCTGGTGGAGCCTTCGACACCTCCAATCCAATTGCTGACCGATCTCAACCCTCCCCCTGTGAGGATTCTAAAGATTTGTTGCGTTCAGGGTAATTCGGTCTCGAGTCAGGTGATTGGCAGCAGCACCCCCCTGCTGCGGTTCTTCGTCTCATTCGAAGGGAAGCCTCAAATTTAGTTATTTATTATTTACAGGGAAAGGTGTTGCCCGTACTCTTGTCGCTACTTTTATTCGGTTTCGAACGAGTTTAAATCGTATGGGAATCGACTTTTACACCAGCATGCAAGTTGACCTATGCGTTTCAAATATTTGCACTGGCTTTAATGTCCTCTTTTCGGCAGATGGCACTGTTTGGTTAATATCCGAGGGATATTGTTGACCGTCTGTAGTCAGAATCAAACCGTCCGTAGTGAACGAATATAACACAACTGCTTCCGAGATGTCTTCAGGTGATGTCCATCCACACACTACGGCATGCTACACTCTCACACGTGCCCTGCGTTCATTAATAAAATAAAATGTTCATCACCCGGCAGTCAAAAATGCTGTATTTCTCAGCGGTATAAAATCACCGAATTGAGCCTCTTTGCGCGCCCTTCCACCGGTCATCACGTGGCGGATGTGACTGTGAGGCTGGACGAACTTCCTTCGCTCCTTCCTCACCAAATTAAGTGGCAGTGCGCTCAGCTCATCATGGCCCCAGGGGTGAAGAAAATGAACACAACTCTGGGCCAGTCAACAGCAGCGGCATCCTCTGGAGATAAACCCCACCAACTCCCACCGCCCCGTGCCAGAGAAACGTGGAATTCCCACCACGGGTCGCGGGCCGCCTCCTCCATCCCTAAATTCTTATGAGTAGCAGAGCGCACACTTTTGACTTGGGAACGAATGTCAGGGTAGAGGAGGTGGGGGGGGGGAGCAAACGTTGCCTGGTGCGGCCCGTGCCCACGGTGGCACTCACCCAGGCAGGTGCGTCCGGCGACGATGGAGCTGGGGTCCGTGAAGCCCACATTACAGGTGCAGTTGTAGGAGCCCTGGGTGTTGGTGCACGTGGCGTTCTCCGCGCAGTCGTTGAGGGTTGAGTTGGCGCACTCATTGGTGTCTGGGGAGGGCACGCAAGCACGGGTGCCCGTCGTTACTTGCAGCGGTGATGCACGACTGCGCACGCGCGTATGTGTGTGTGTAGTGGGGAGCGATGGTGTAGCGGTTAGCGCGCTGCGCTATGAACCTGGCGACCCGGGTTCGATTTCCGCTCACGGCCAACACCGGTGTGAAGATCTCAACCGGTCGTGGGCCTCCCTTAGGTCGACTCAGCCTCAAATCAGTGCCTGGTGCAGTGTGTAAACATTGCCACTGAAAAGCCAAAGGCGGTCAGGCGTGGTGCTGGCCACCCACCCCTTCGTGTGCAGTGCTGGCCTTCATAGGTACTACTGGCTAACAGCACTTGCCCCAATATTCTATTTAAGCTATACAGAGGATCTTTATGCGTGAAGAGTGTTAGTGCAGTGGCCTGCGCACTGCACCACTAACCCAACGACTTGAGTTCATTACCCAGCCATGGCTAATGTTGGCGGCTAGTGCGATTAAATTTTGTACCGGGCGTTCCATGAGGTTGACTCGGCCACAAATGAGTGTCTGATGCAGTGTGTGAGCATAAGCGATGTGAAAACTAAGGAGTTGGCCACAGCCAAACCTGCTCCTTGTGTCGGCCCAAACCTTACGTAGGCATTTGGTTAACAGCATTTGTCTCGGCAGTCAGTACGGCGCTCAATTTTTTCGTTTGGTTGGATGTGTTTGTACATACATCCACCACAGGTGTGAGGGTGGAATGTGTGGCGCAGTGGTTAGCACCCTGCTGCAATTCCCGTCACGCGCGGTTTTAATTGTTGAGCGGTGGAAAGTGACATCTAAACATTTATAAATAACGCGATCTAAACCCAAAAACCTATATTATTAATAATATTGGTCGCGAAAGCCTACGTGTTAAATTCATATTATCGTTGCATCGTTTTCAATAATGAATTGTGGTTCCTCCGAGTGGTACTCCAACGTTGCTTTCTCTTGCGTGACCGACCCGGGTCGCCCGAGTGATTTCCCCGGAACGTGCACGCCTCTGTGGCACCGCCCGCCGCGCTCGCCGCTCACCGGTGACGTTGAAGCCTGCCAAGTCGAACTGCAGCCCCGTGCTGTTTACGAGCGCTTGTGTCAGAGCGAGCAGCACCTGGTCGAACGTGAGGCCCGTGAGGCTGCCGCCCAGAATCAGGTCGATGACGGCCACGATGCTGCCCCTGTTCAGCTCCTTGACCTTGATGGTCAGCAAGCCGTTGGCCACCAGTGCCGCTACGTTGGGCGGAAGGCCCGCCAGAATCTACCCGCAACGCACACGCGCCGGGGGTTGAGGTGAAATGACGGGGGGCACGGTTTGAGCGTGAGAAATGTGCTCGTCCATATTGTTTGGTTCTTTCGGTAAAGTGCACGTAGAGAGAAAAGAATAGTAAAAAATAAAGTGAATGCAAATAAAATAAAATGCAGTTTTGTTTCGGTGGCTTTTTCAGACTCTGTAGCAGTGCAGTTTAATTTTGGACGTACAATTCAGGCACTTTAAAGATGTGGTAGTCATTAGCATAACCATAAAGTGGCGTTTTATTACTTGGGAATAGCGTGTTAACCAACTGATAAATTCCAACACTTGTTGATAAGTGAGAAATGCTCATAAAATACCACGATCTTAGACGAAGTCGGATGAACTAACTTTTTCATCCTACCTGGGATGGTGGTAGTGCATTTAGTTTTGTGTATCTGTCAAACCACAGAGTTTATCCATAAATGACCCATATATATACTTGTTAAACGCAATTATTTTCACAATGATAGCCCGTATGTCGTCATGCGTCGCATCTGCGTGTAATGTCGGCGGCACGGCTAAAAATCCCGCAGTAGAAAAATAACTCGGAGCATCCTGTGGCGAGCCTGCACTGGCACGGCTCTGATGTGCGGTGTTGAAAAAACAATGTTTGTGAACTGTGCGAGACATCCACCTCAGCGGGCATGACAAAAAAATATACGCAGCAGGAATCGGTCGGCTCCGAGCTAATACAGTGATCCCTCGTTTATCGCGGTTAATGGGGACCGGAACCCCTCGCGATAGGTGAAAATCCGCGAAGTAGGATTGGCCTCCTAGGAATTTCCGTATATGTGTGTGTGGGTACTAGAATGTTTAAAATATGTATATTTATACTTTATATATATTTTATTTAAATCTATTTAATTATGAAATCTTAATATTATACATTCACTCTCTCTCTCATACGATACGTATTATGGTGTTCTACACTCACCAATGACAGTAGTATCTTGAGACTTGACTCCAGTAATGACGACGACGACGATGACAATGACGATGACAATGACGACGATGACAGACCTGTGCAGTTCGATGAATGTGATGATGAATGATGATGATGATGGTGTTACTGCACAGGTATAATGAGGCCTTTAAATCAGTTCGAAAAATCCACGATGCACTGAGGCCACGAAACTTGAACTGCGAAGTGGCGAGGGATTACTGTAGTGTGACTTTTCTGTCACAAGATGTTGTTGTCAATGTAGAAAAGCCTCGTTTGAGTCTCATTGTCTTGCTAAAAATACATATTACGCATTCCCTCTTTTCCTTTATTTATCTCACTAATTTAACTTTAATGCACAATGCTCACATATTTTTTTTTACAGTTTAAATTGACTCGGAAGTATGTAGGAAAAGATTAGATCCTTAATTATAAATGCGCAACGTGCTTTTGTAAGTGCGCGCGTTGGCAAACCTGAATTGAATGTTTAAGTTTAATTAGAAAAAAATCTACAGAACACGATGCACCGTGAGATTTGAAGTGAGGAATTGAGGTGCGTGGGGATGATGGCAAATCAAATAAAAATCTATCTGCGTTTCACCTCTGCGATAAGTTCTCTTGAGAAGTTGGCGAATTCTTCGCTGCTCGTGTTTGCCATGGCATCTGTGAAGTTTCGGTTGATGACTCGGACAGAGCCCACGAGTTCCTGAGAATCTGTTGAAAAGGAAGGAAATGATCCGTAATAAAGTATATTCATTGCATCAATTCGTGTGCAATTTGTAAGGCCGCGGTGACACAGACCTATTTCATTTAAAGGTTATAATCCCTTGTTCATCATGACGACCTTTTTACTTCTATGTCTCAACAGCATTACGGAGATCGCGTGACGTGAGGGTTCTGCCTTCGTAGTGAGGGTTGTGAGTTGACGCCGAGGAGGGGGGAGGAGGCGCTTCGCCCCCCCCCCCCCCATGTGGAGTGACGTCACCCACTCATGATTATGAATGATGGGGGGGGGGGTCCATGTGGAGGACGTCACCTGTTCATGATTATTAATGAGGGGGGCTGGCCGACGTGGGGTGACGTCACGCGCGGGACACACAGACATTCTTGGCGCATTATCGTACTAAATTTGATGATGCTGAGAACTCGGTTCAAAAGAAAGAAAATTATCCATAAGTGTTCACAAATTCTGATTTGATCATGCTGAGAACTCGGTTAAAAAGAAAGAAAAATATCCATTAGAAAGTGTTCACAAATTATGATTTGATGATGCTGAGAACTCGGTTCAAAAGAAAGAAAATTATCCATTAGAAAGTGTTCACAAATTATGATTTGATGATGCTGAGAACTCGGTTCAAAAGAAAGAAAATTATCCATAAGAAAGTGTTCACAATTATGATTTGATGGTGCTGAGAACTCGGTTCAAAAGAAAGAAAATTATCCATAAGAAAGTGTTCACAAATTATGATTTGATGGTGCTGAGAACTCGGTTCAAAAGAAAGAAAATTATCCATTAGAAAGCGTTCACAAATTATGATTTGATGATGCTGAGAACTCGGTTCAAAAGAAAGAAAAATATCCATTAGAAAGTGTTCACAAATTATGATTTGATGATGCTGAGAACTCGGTTCAAAAGAAAGAAAATAATCCATTAGAAAGTGTTCACAAATTATGATTTGATGATGCTGAGAACTCGGTTCAAAAGAAAGAAAATTATCCATAAGAAAGCGTTCACAAATTATGATTTGATGATGCTGCCGCTGCGTTGGCAGTGGGTGCACAAGAATAAATAACAAAACAACTCAACACATTTTTCAGTAACAAGGAAAACACATATATGTATATCATAGGCGATGTTTGAGGAAATGGACCCACCTTTTTCTTGGCACATTCTTCACGTGCTATGAAGAAAGGCCTAAAAGCACTGTAGCCTTGTTTGTTATATACCAGTGAATGACGACATTCATTAGTTAAATTAATGTTTTTGTTATATGGCAGTGAATGATTTAATGTGTTAGTTACGTGAATTAACTATTAATGAATTAATGTAACAACAATGAAATGATATAATTAAGTGGTAAAATTAATGCCACGTTAATTGTGGAATTAATTTTAATAGCTTAAGGTACTACTTTTTTTTATTTAATCTGGAAACGATCAAATTAATTCATCAATGGAAGACATTTAGAATTTAATCGAATTAACATTGTTCTTTTTAAATATGGAACAACGCAATTTTTTTTTTTACGCTGCTTTCCTGGCCAGTTCAAAGCGAGACACATGCCCGCTCGTTCATGCTGCTCATGAAATTGTATAGCTACTAAGCAAGAGAAGGTAGCAGCCTACCGGTCTTGACCCTCTGGACGAGGGCGCTGCTGTTCTTGCCGCAGCTTCTGCTAGTGATGGCCACCGTGTAGACGACGCCCGGCCGCAACCCCGTGAAGTTGTAACGCGGTTCCTGGCTGTACAGCGTGGTGGGCTCCAGGCCCTGGCTCTGAGCCTCTGACAACCTCAGCTCGTAGCTCTGCTGGAGCTGCTGCTGCCGCTGCTGCTGCGTCCATCCCGCGTCCCAGCTCAGTCCGAAGCTCATGGCGTTCAAGCCGGTGACGACGGCGTACGGCGGCGCCAGAGGATCCGGCCCTGGTGTGCCGAGACGGGTGTGGGCAGAGCAACGGCGCGATGGGTGAAACTCGCCGCACGGATACGGGTGGACAGCTCACCCTGTGTGACGTTAACACCCGCATGGCACCTGACCCTCATCGGTATACCTGCTCGCCGACGACCGCACAAAATAAACTCGCCTTATTAAGTTTAGTTTCCTCTCAATTTACCAAATTGCCGCTCTCCGAATGAAACGTTTGGTTTGACTGCCACGCGATGAACCTCGGGCCTGTCCTAGTGTAATAATAGGCAGTCGTCTCGCAAAGATTTCCCTGACGAGTGCCGATTTCAGCTGACCCTGCTTCGAGTGCACGTTCAACACGCGCGTACATTATCCTCTTATCTCGACATCGTTTATACAACGCCTTAACCGAGCCGCTTAACAGACAATTAAGAACGGTACATATGAATGTGACGGTGGAGTTGAGGTGAAAGAAAAAGATGAGAGGAAGCAATGGTGGGGCGAATCTGTGATGATGCGAATTTGATGACAGAAAATTATAACGAATGGATTGAATGAATGAGTGAATGGAGTTAATGAGTGAAAGCCATGTGATGAGCGGGAGATTAGGTGGGGTCATGGGGTGAGCTCGGGAAAATAAGTGAGTTTTGAGTGAGGAGCGGAAACTGGTGAGCGAAGGTGACTGTTTAACGTGGAGGGGGAAGTTTGTTCCGTTGAAGGAACGCACGGTGCAAACTCCTCTCTCGCATAACTTACAGCGTCCAACTTTCTCTGTCTTTATCGCGAGCTTTTATACCTTGCGATTCCTCTGTTCCATTTCTGTGGCTTTCTTAATCTCAGGCTACAATCAATTGATGCCAAAGCATCCAATGACAGGCTGCGTCGTAAGTTATTTTCCCTACCCGTCTTCTAAATTTGTTTTTTTTTTTTATCAGCGCAAGAAAACTTCGTGAAATGCGAGTTGCACATCTGTTTATTGAACCTGTCCGAAGCTTTTATATAGAGTCGAGAACATGCAACAGTATGGCAACCCCTCGCTGTCTTTGTGAGAAATATCGCCTTGTGAGAGATGGCTTTGGCAGCGCAGCGGGTTTCACGAGTGCGGCAGAAGTGAAGTCGTGAGAGGAGTTGGGAGGCCAAACTTTAAGTTTAACAGCGTGCCGCTTTAAAGTACGAGGCGCCTAGTGCCCGCAAATCATCTTCTGTCTCGGGGTAAAAATCGCCAAGTCATCCACAATGCCCCCGAATCCCATCGAATATCAGACGCTAAGCAAAGTTGAGCCTGGAGATTGCCTGGACGGGCAACCACCGTGCACAACGGGTTGTTATAGGCTGCGGGGCGACACGGTGAGCAGCACAGTGCAGACAACTCTATCGTCGTTCCGTGCTTGTATTCTAACCAGCACTAAACCAAGGTGAAAAAGTAGGACCCTAGAATCCCCATGACCAATGTGGCATGGGGAAGTCCTCGTCCAGCAGTGGATTGGCAAAGGCCTGTACAGGGACAATCAATATCCTCAGAAGTGCTCGTGCCATGGCAGCCACTCCTCTTTCCCACTCGGCTCTTCTGTCTTGAAAAAAAATCAGGCCAATTAATATTATTTGGGTCTTTCGGTAAAGCCACGTAGATAGAAAAATAAAAAAATTATAAAAATAATAACAACATCACGACGTTTCAAGCACAACACAAGCGGTCGTCATCAGGAAACTGGGGGGGGGGGGGGGGGGGGGGGTTAGCTTCTAGAATATGAATTCCAGCAGTCACGAAAGCCTTAAGTCAAGGCCAATTAATGCTCAGCTAAGGTTCAACAATTGAGAGTCAAAGGGGGTTTCTGGCTCAAACAATCGTGGGGCGGAGCTCACCTCCCGCTTACAATCCTGAGCCATCTGACAAGAGTCCACATTCCTACGGAGGAGCGTGTCTATCATACGTTGACTTCTTTGCCAATTGGTGCTCGTTATATGAACCCAGAAGGAATGCAGGGCCGAGCAAGCCACACACTCTATGGCCGTGCTACCTGGCCGGTTTCTAGCTGAAGTAACCACAACAACGGTGGCGTAACTTGATTGGCATGGGCCCTCGTGCAAGGAATGACAGCCTGGCCTGTGAACCACGGTGCAGTTGCACCGCCTACACACCCGATAAATATGTGCCACTGCTAAAGTAAACATACAAATGTTACATGCAGGCTGCCACTGTGAATTGCACATTCCTCACCCCGTAGCGTCTATGAGTAATGCGAGGGTGTGTGCAGAGCGTGTGCCGGTGCGCATACCGCACGGTGTTGTGGGTGGAGGGTAGGGCGCTGAAGGTGACGGGCTGCTGCTGCTGCTGTTCCAGGGTGGCGATCCGCTCGAATGCGGCTCGGAGGTGGTGGGTGCAACAACCGGGTTGCCTGGATTCCCGAGGGGCGCGCGGAGAGAAGACAATTGTTCACCGACGCTCGCGCGACGCCGCCGGCGTCGTGGCAGGAGTTTTGTGGGTTAGCGTTTTAATGTCAGGATGGGGGAGAGAGGTGGAGAGAGAAAATTAACCCGTAAAAACAAAGTTTTTCACTATAAATCCTTTATATGCGTGGCGGCTAGAGTCCTCTCGTCCTCTGGCTTGAGATGGCTGCCACCTATGGGTCAGATGATTGCATGCCAGCATTAAGCAATTGGTAATTAAATATAATATTTTTGTCCTAAAAAGTGTAAAATTTTGGAATTTTTTTTTCACGAACATTAATTGTCACGCACAACGAGTCTGTGTGGAAAAATGTCAGCTCGATTGGAATATAAAGGATTTAAAAATAATCCGAACCGGCGGTGATGCTATCTCACCTCTGCACTCGTAGGTTCCTATTCTGTTGATACAATTTGTCCCGCTCTGGCAGGAATTGAGCTCAGGCGCGTTACATTCATTGACGTCTAATGGAGAGAGAGAAAACAACACGCACGCACGTAAATGTCATTCAAGAAGTGTCAACTCTGCGCGGTACCTCCCCCGATATTTGTCAGAGCTATGCGCGCCTATCGCCGATCACCAGAAACGATAGCGTCTGAGATGTGACGCTCTGCCGACGGTGGCGATTCTTGCTCGTGGCGATTCCCACCGGTGCAGGGAGCTCGACTGGAAATGTACGGTGACCACGTGCTTCTGCAAAATTCAGCCCCCCCAAGTCGCATGGAACAAAGCCCCCCCGACTGCACTAACTCACCAAGAAACGCCTCGCTCGTGTTCACCAACTTCAAACGACACATTGGCATCCATCGATCGTCCACAGCACGATGGGACAGCAATTCGTTATTTGAACTCAAACTAAACTTTTTTTATTTCGGTAGATAAGACCCACTGAGCTATGTAGCTCTTTTTCAAAAGCGACCTTAGCCACAAATGGTAGCTCAACGAAGTGGCTTATCACGTGTAAGAGTACAGCAACCAAATACTCTAAACGTGTGTTGATTCTTAATGTGGAGAGAAAAACCGGAGGACCCGGAGAAAAATCCACGCGACCACGAGGAGAGAGACATGCAAACTCCAAATATACGGGCATTAGGGTCGGGATCGAGCCCACAGCCTCCCGTATACAGGCGAGGTAGTTAACATCTGGCCCCAGTGGTGCTCATTTCAAAGTTAATGGGTTGTAGCAAAACAAATACCGAGTGCTTTTACTTTGGTTACATAGCAAAAATATGGCTTCGTTGTCGAGTGGTTGCCAAGTAAGTCCAATCACTACTCGCGTAAAGAGATACTCAGCATCAATGGGCTCGCGCTAGGTTTTGGAATAAGAAGTTTACAAGTTTGCCCTCTGCAAGTTAATTAGCTCGGCCAGGTTAAGTTCAAACGCATAACGCCGGTGTCATTCGTGTCCACTTGTCAATAATGGCACCGTAAGATGGGTAATTGCCACCTGCAGGACTGTATAATGTCACCCTGGCTTCACAACATACTCATTAAAGTGTCGCAAAAAAAAGGTCAGAGTTTCCGCCATACACAGATGTCTCTCTTAAGGTCACCTTGTGACATTGTGACCATTAAAATTTCATTTTATACTCACTAGGCACTGTCACGATGTCTGAAGGCGCCAGCCCTTTGTCAAGCCACTGTTGGATGACTGCCTCCCCATGCCGTGTCAATTATCGGGGGGTTATTTGACCATACTTCACCACGCAGGTCAGCGTGGCTTGTAGAAGGGGGTGCGGCCCCAGTTCGGATATCGCTCACCACTGATGTTAGCCATGGCCAGGAATCGAACTGGGTGTGGTGAGGGGAGGGGGGTAGATTCATAGCTCGGTGCGCTAACCACTGTGGCCAGGACTCCATCGCGAATGTGAGCATCATGTTTTCTTAATATTAAGGCTCTGACTGCTGGAAATGAGCACGAGGTCATTCAAGTTTCATGTGTACCGGCGGTGACTGTTGCCATGCTGCGTTTACCTTTGATGTGAAATTTAACATTCTGATGCCGTATGACTGTTTGCGTCATCCTGGGCAAAAGCATCGAGGGTAAAGCAGTGCCTCGACTGGACCGAGGTCTTGACTGGACTGCGATCATCACGGTAACTCCTTTGGATTGATTTAGCAAAGCTTCATGGAGTCTCAAGACTCTAAGACTCAAAGGGTGCCTACTGCTTTGTCGCACGGCATACGGCCGGTTGCATTAACGAGTGTTCGGTAGGAATGGTTGATAAGGAGGAAAACAAGTTGGTGAAGGCCAGGATTAATGGCAATTGCTTCAATGTGTAATGTGCAAAGACAACATAATTCCACGTACGACGAGCCTCAAACAAGATAAAATGTGTAACTTTGTAGTATTTACATTCAGTTTAGGACAAATGCGGTGCGTGATACGATGTTGAATAATTGCGCATCTAAATGCAATCACATATTGTAAGAAACAGAGGGTTGTGCATCTCTTGAAGCAAGGAGGCACATATAAGATGGCAACAAAGATCCCTTGTGTAGCCTTAACAGGCTGCTGAGGCAAGTGCTTTTCGTGAGCGCATTATATATACACACACACACGCCCTTTTTAAAGAAGAATATACAATCATAGGCATAGGAGAAATGAAATAAATTTGAGTCTGGACTTCTACAAGGCGAGGAGTGGTCTGATTGCATTGATAGAGGAGGGAGTTCCAGACACATTTTTTGTAATCATTTCTTATTTTACCAAGGTAGGGTTTATAGAGCTATACAGCTCTTTTTTCAGAAGCGACCTGGCCACAAATGATAACTCAACGAAGCGGCTTATCACGTGGAAATGAATTGCAGCCAAATACTCTAAATCAGGGGTCCCCAACCCCCAGGGCCGGGGACCGGTCCGTGGCCTGTTAGGAACCCCCACACCTGGTCCGTGAAAAAATTGTCTTCCACGAAATTGGTGCCAAAAATGTTGGGGACCGCTGCTCTACACGCGTGATTATTCTAAATGTGGAGGGGAAACACCGGAGGACCCGGAGAGAAAATCCACGCGGCCATGGGCAGAACATGCAAACTCCAAATATGCAGGCATCAGAGATCGTACCCACGGCCTCCTGCATACCAGGCGAGGTAGTTAACATCTTGAACAAATGTTTGGCTGGGGCCTTTTGACAAAATTATTTTCATTATTATTGTTTTCCCAACGAGTGGAGAGCATACAGAAGGGGAATGGTGAGATGAGCGGGAAGCGTTTGGCAGGGGCGACAAGTCTACGGAGGATCTTGAAGTCTATGCTTTGGCAAACTTGAGCTTCGTAACTTTCTGCCGTGCGCCGCTGGAGCGCCATGCACTTTTAAGTCGACGTTAAAAACTCACTTCTTACTAAACGCTTTTTGCGTTTCAGTTAGTTTGTCGCACCTCCGATTAGCATGGTTGGCCACGCAGAGTGCGAAAGAAGTTCAACATACATAGATAAAGCAAAAAATCCACGCACCTGTGACTCTTGCGAACATCACTCTGGGGGCTGTGAAGGGTAGCTTTTGCAACTTCATGCCGAGCGCCAGGCGGTCTGTCCTCGGTGGGCTGAAGGCGACCCTCAGCTTGGCCTCGGTGCTCCGCCAGAAGCCCAGCGTGCAGGGCGCGAAGGCGGTCACGTAGATCCCCGTCGCGTTCCAGCTCTCCAGCAAGCCCGACACCTGCTCGCCACGCACGCGCCCAGCGCCAGCCCAGGTGGAGCCCGCACGCACGCACGACCCCCGTCAGCGCACGCCCCGTGGGCCACCCTCCACGCTCGCTCGGGGGAGACTCGGCAGCGTTCCAGAGCAACTATTCGGGGCGCCGTGGTGGCGAAGATGTTAACTCCCTCGCCTGGCTTGCGGGAGGTCAGGGGTTAGATCCCGACACCCTGACGCCTGCTGTATATGTTCTATCTCTCCGTGGTCGCGTGGATTTTTCCCCGTTTTTTTCCTACACATTTAGAATCAACATGCGTTCAGAGTATTGGGCTGCCATAAATTTCCACGTGATAAGCCACTTCATTAAGTTATCGTTTGTGGCCAGGTCGCTTCTGAAAAAAAGATCTGTATAGGTCAGTTGGTCTTACCTGGTAAAATAAAAAATAGTTTAATTTTGGTTTAATTCGTACCTGCGTCGATTTTGGGGAGGTACTGTTGGGATAATTCGATCATCCTGAAGTAATTCAATGTACGCACATACATATGGGAGCTATAGAGATCATCATTAGTACATGGGACAATCGTTGCGGCTGCCGTTTCACCGGGAAAGGGGGGGCTGTCATGGCCCGTGGCGAGAACTCACCATCGAGTGGACGAGACGAGCGGCTTCCAGGAAGCTGGCCGAGTGAGGATCGAGGAGGTCTGCCGAGTATTCTATCGTGGTAGTAAGCTCGATGTCGTAGTAGCCCGTGTTCGCTGAGAATGAAGGACAATGACACTTGGAGGTCAAACGCGTGGGGGGAGGGGGGGGGACTTTGCGACGAGCATATTTGTGCTGAGAGCTACCGGTGGCATCATCGCAGAAATGGCACTGAAACGGATGTATGTTGTGATAGTCACATGACTACGACGACGATAAGAGTCAATTAATTATACATACGTGTCATGGTTGATGATAACGATGACATTAATGACGATCAAGGGAGGGACTGGACATGGATCTGGGCGATGGTGCCAGGAAATGATGATGATGCTGCTGCTGCTGATTATGATGACAACGATGTCGAGCATGAAATTGACCATGCATGTACATTCCCGCGTAGTACGGTCGATGACGATCATAATGATGGTGACAACGATGGAATACGAGTGGCGACAAAGGAGATGTCAGGATGTGCGTATGACATGGCCAGCCGACACGTCGAGGACGACGGCTCTGGCAACACGGGCAACAACAACAATGGGAGCAACGACGGCGTTTCACAATGCGATACCTATAATTAAACTCAGATGCGCGTGCGTTTGTGCGTGCGTGTTTGTGCGTGCGTGTGGGCACGTGCGTGTGCGTGTGTTTGTGCTGTGTGTGTGTGTTTGCGCGTGCATTTGTGCGTTTGCGGGCGTGTGTTTGTGCGTTTGGGCACGTGCGTGTGTTTGTGCGTGCGTGCGTTTGTACATGCGTGTGTTTGTGCGTTTGCGCGTGCGTGTGTTTGTGCGTACGATCACCGCAGCTCTCGACGGGCCACCCGCAACCGCTGCCGACGACGACCAACGGCCTCCTCACCTTGTGGGACCGGCGGGGCGCACGTGCGCTGGCCGCCACCTCCGCCCGCGTCGGGGCAGCACTTGGTGGCGTTGCCGCAGTCCCCGTCCCCGGCACAGGGCGCCGTGGAGCCGCCGGGCGGCGAAGCCGGGCAGCCGCCCGGCTTCGACGTAAACACGCTCGACTCGTTGAGCGCTGCCGGGGCGGAAAGAACGCGTGCCACAGTCAGTTGGGGGGGCGGTTTTCCCAGGCGCCCCCCTTAGGGGGTCCCCGGTTCCACTCGCCGGGTGCGTGGAAACGGACACGTCCGGAGCTCGTTCGCCAGTCCCCAGATCCCGCTCGGCTGCGTTCACGAGTTCGCTAACACCACGTTACGTGCCCCCCCCCCACATCTACAACATGTCTCGTCACGTCAGTCCTACAAGGGGCGATAAAATCAGCACCGCTTCGAGGTGCGTAACACAACTCCGATGGCGCTCGTGGTTCGTTTTGCTTGTTTGCGCGTGAAGATAGTGGGGCTGTGAGCAAGCATTTCTGCATTGTCTAAACCTGAACTTGGAATGTGTGTGGGTAGCGTGAGTGGCGTAGCGAAGAGTAATATCTGAACCCTGAACCGGTGTTGTGCCACCCCGAGGTTGACTCTGGTCTTCAATGAGCACGTGGTTCAGTGTGCAAACTGCAACCCAACGGGAGAGACAAAGGAGGGCCGGGTGTCTTGCGGGACGTGCTGTGTGCTCCACAGTGGCCTCGTATGTGTGTGCTTGCTCAACTTATTTCGCACCGTACGTAGCCAGCCGTGCCAATCGGAGGTGCCTTCATCGGTGCTGGATGACAGCACTTGCCCCAACAGTCGATAGAGGCTGTACGGTGTTTTCTGTATCTATGGAAGGGGAAGGCTTGTGCGGTGTGTGTGGTGTGTGCGGTGTGTGTGTGTGATGCGCTTTGATAAATGTGGCCAGGTGTCAGGTCATCATAACTCTGGAGACACACAAGCATCTGATTACATTGCTGTTCAAAGGCTCACTGCGTTCAGAGCCTCACCCCCCCCCCCCCCCCCCCCACATTTAAATTTGATCTTACGTGTTCACATTGACCACCGAAAATAGTTTTAATTGGGTAGGCTGCCATACAATACGTGCTGGTAAATATTCAGGTATTAAAAGGCATTAAATTATGGGAGCAAAATACTTGGGGGCGTTGTTTGGATCAGTCGTGTAAATATTTCCACGGAGATGTGCTGTTTCATCACGCGATCTCAGCCTATTGTTTGGTAGCTCCTTGTAGAAGATCAACAAGTGCTATCGTGCTGTGGAGGATCTGGTCCTTGCCATATTCATGTGGAATTTCCACCACCTGGTCAGGGGCACCGCCAGGGATGAGCACTGCTCTATTGCTCTTGGTTTTAACATAAATATATATGGTTACACACATGTACACAAAATACGTGTGTGCTTTATTTAATACACACATACATGTGTACGTGTCAACAGTGTTTTCATGCTGTGGCAGAAACTGGAGAAACGTGTCCTTGCCACGACAATGTGAAATTTCCACCACTGACTGTGAGGGCACCAATGAATACCTTTGTATGTATGTGGTCTGTTTCAAATTACGCAGAAATATATGTACGCACACACGCACGTATGTATGTATGAACAGGAAGACACGTTGACTGTTGACGCGAGCATTTCAATATGCATTTATCGCTGGGCTCACACTGGGCCCTCACACCTGGGCACAGAGGTCGCAAACGGGTTTTGATTCCTTACCCGTACCCGGCCGCACCAGGGTCGCAAACGGGTACCCGTACCCGGCCGGGTATCGGGTAGGGTACGGGTAGCCGATTGCGACCTCCGGGATGAAGCCATGTTGCAGGCGTGGGTGGGTTGATTCTAGGAACTTGAATTGTGAGAAGAGACAAGACGTTGGGAAATGAGTGACAAACGGTTACTCACCAGTGACTCACGGCCTACCCGTACCCGTACCCGGCCGCACCAGGGTCGCAAATGGGTACCCGTACCCCCAGCCGGGTACGGGTAGCCGGGTATCGGGTAGGGTACGGGTATCGGGTACCCGATTGCGACCTCTGCCTGGGCAGTATTAACAACAACAGCAGCAATAATACAATCCCATGGGGGGCTGGTGGAGTTGGGGCTGGTGGTGGTGGTGGTGCCGTGTAACTCACGGGAGCACACAGTAGGAGCCATGTCTGGGCACCCATCACCTGGGCAGTATTAACAATAACAACAACAACAGGGCTGGTGATGTTTGGGTTGGGTTGGTGGGGTTGCCGTGGAACTCACGGAGCACACAGTATGAGCCGCTCCTCTCGTAGCCCGCGCAGCAAACGGTAGCGTTCTCGAGCTGCGTGTGGACGACGGGCCGGTAGGCAACGCGGTAGCCCGTCTTGTAGCACACGTGCGCCAGCCAGCCGTTTTGGCACAGGGACAGCTTGGCGAAAGACTCCGTGTAGCTCTCCATGGCCGAGCGGTTCACCAGCACCTCGCCGCGGCACAGGTGGTAGCCGCGCAGGGGTCGCATGCTCGCCGCTGTGGCGAGACGGTGCGAGTTCAGAAGGATGGAATCGGACGTTTTGACATCGAGGGTATCAGCCAGCCAGCGGACAAGACTGCTTTTTAAATCCTTTATATTAAGTTCGCGTGCTTGCTTGCTTGCTTGCGTGCTTGCTTGCTTGCTTAGGACCGTGCAAATCTTTCGGTCGTTTTTTAACCCACTTCCCGTGATCCAATCGAGCTGACATTTTCCACACAGACTCGTTGTGCCAGACAATTATTGTTCGTGAAAAAAAATTCCCAAAATTTTACACTTTTTAGGCAAAAAAAAAATATTTTACATATATTCAAATAGAACGTATTCATGGCTTTGGCTGAACGTCAGAGTGTAAGAGCCCAGAGCGTAACTCCTCTACAGGCCGTGGCGGAGTAGCGCAGTTGGTAGCACCCTCGCTTCCCATGCCAAAGGTCGCGGGATCGATCCCCTCGTCCTCCACAGGCGAATATATTTTTAAATCCTTTATATTAAGTTCGCTGCCACGCATATAAAGGATTTATAGTGAAAAACTTTGTTTTTACGGGTTATACTTATTAAATCCTTTATATTAAGTTCACTTGCTTGCGTGCTTGCTTGCTTGCTTACGACCGTGCAAATCTTTCGGTCGTTTTTTAACCCACTTCCCGTGATCCAATCGAGCTGACATTTTGCACACAGACTCGTTGTGCGTGACAATTTATTTTCGTGAAAATGTTTTCAATAACTTTACACTTTTTAGGATTTTTTTTTATATTTAATTACCAATTGCTTAATGGTGGCAGGCAATCATCTGACCCATAGGTGGCAGCCATCTCAAGCCAGAGGACGAGATGACTCTAGCCGCCACGCATATTAAGGATTTATAGTGAAAAACTTTGTTTTTACGGGTTAATTTTTTTTGCGTTTAGTTTGTTGTCCACCCACCCCACACATGATGTGAACGGTGTGAAAACAGTTGAACGTACTAACATACAAGCGGCAGTATGAGATGTTTAATATACAGAGACAGATGAGAGAGTCTGCCTGAAAACTTAAACTGGATAACCCACAAAATGTCATTGCCTAGAAAGTGCAGTACTGTAGTAGTAGTAGTCGTAGTCTCGCGTTCAGATTATGGGGAGATTACGCAGATGAAAACAAGTAATGTGGTATCATGTTTAGAATGTGGCGATCTTTGTGGGCAGATGCTATGAGATGACTATCTTGATATGTAGCCTACGTCAGTTGTCAAGCCTTTTGCCAGGAAATCCTCCAAGTTGTCAGGGTAGGAAGGCCAACAAGCCACGGGAGTTAGCCAGCTTGCTGCTGCTGAGTTTTGGATGTTATGAAAAAATAATTTAATCTCTTTCCCATATTTATTTCCCAATTGTGCCACTGGCATAAGGATCATGTAAGAGGAAGGATCATTTCGGAACTTTACCAGAGCAACTGCATCACCCCGTGTTCGGGAATGGCCCACGTAAGACCATATTGCATAACTGCGTCTGAGATCTTCTCTATATATATAAAAGTCAAAAATGGTTTGTGTGTGGGTTTGTGTGAGTTCAAGCACTTTGGCTCTCCAACGGTGGGGTTTACGTGAAAAAAAAATAGCCAGCTACCACGCCGTAAGCCCCGCGGTGAGCAAGCGCTATTCCTTTTTCACATCCGTCAACTTTAATTAGTTTAATTACCGATTTAGTGCAAATTTTGCGTGCTTTCCCTTTATTTCTTTATTTATGAAGCCTGCACGACCATACCACCTCACGCGCCTTTGGTGGCGGGGGGCGGCCGTGCCAAGTCGCACTTGGCATGGGCCGCCTTCGGTGGGAGTGAGGGGGACTTTTTCTTTCGCGTTAAAAATGCTATTAAAATAAACTAAACGCTCAGGTAAATTTTTCACTGTGTGATGTCCCCCCCACCCCGATGCGTGCAGTTACTACTATACAGTCGGTAGATGCTACCACTATAGGCTGTAGATATTACTGCGGAGCGGCTGTGGAGATCGTGGCTGGGTGGGGGCGGGTCAGGGGTAGCAGCCCAGCCTGCCAAGGTGCCACCTCGGCCGGCTGGACAATCTAAGCGAGGCCGGAGGCTCTGCATGGGACTAGGCCTCACCACGCCACTCTGTCAGATGAGTACTTTGTGTTATAAAGTCCATGATTACTGCTATAGAGTCAGCATGTACTACTGTAGTGATAGTAGGTACCACCACGGTCGGTATGCACTGCTGCAATCATAGCAGGTACCACCACAGTCAGTACGCACTGCTGTTAGATTTTTAAGAGTATTTTAAAAAAAAATATGGCCCGGCCAACGCCGGGTACTTCCCGCTAGTCCCTGATAAAAGGCAGTAAAAACTGGCATTTTAATATCAGAGCTGGGATTTATCCCAATTAAGTGAAGAAAAAATCTAAAATATTTATGTGATACTTGTTAGTGCACTCATTGGTGCCTTGCCTGAGACCATCACCCTCACTACACTTGAGAACCCAGTTTCATCACTGGTGGATCAACAGTACTCATCATCTACGTAACTTATACCAAACCTCCCATGCAGTACGTCTCGAGGTTAATCCAATCCGTAAATTAAAAGAGAGACCCATCAGAGCAGATTCATAGTGCAGGCTGGAAAGCATCTGTATCAAACAAGACACAAAAATCACCTGGCCCATTGTGCATTATGCAAAAAATTAAATGCACTTTTTGGCAAACGCAACAAAACTAATTCGAAGAACTGCTGCTTGTTGTATTTGCATATGCACAAACAGCCGTGTACTTTTTACAACATGTCTGTGTGTTGTGTTTGACACTTGTGCGTTTTCAGTTTGCGCTATAATTCTATTACGGTGGGTTTTGGTGGGTTTTCTCATCATTTAAATTTTAAAGATATAATTATCGTTTGCATTAGCCAAGCTTTAAGGCCCCTATAGTGTGGATAATTGGGCACGACACACACACATACTGTATATTGTTCTCCGAGGCAATCTTTCCAGCAGTGAGCATTTGTGACTATACTGTCCTAATTATTATATGTTCATTTGTTGTGACTATACTGTCCTAATTATTACTCATGTTATTTGTTTACTTTCGATAGCTTCACCGGGTCTATATACATATGTTGTTGGATGTTTGTAACCCTTGAAATTATGAATTATATATCATAATTTTTTGTATCATCACCATCAATTAATGTTACAACAAATCACTGTTATCATCATCATCCATAATCATAGTTATCATCATCTTATCACGCTTATTTAAATGTGTTTTATGGCACGGCTATTGTCAGATCGTGCCACTGATGTAGTCCTTGTTATTGCAGTGTTTTAAAAATACATTTAGGGAAAAATAGCTAAATAAACCAACTGCATTTCATAGACAACCATCCTCCTGCACTTTCAAATAATATTTTGTAACCCACCAGCCTGTGTGCTTTTCATTGCTATGATGGTATTTATCACCCATACTATTTAGTGCAACTTATTACTGTTAGTTAATTACCCGTAATGCTCAGAGAGCAGCAAATAATTAGGTTTATTTTTTTACATTAAATAGTCAGTGAAACGACATCAAATGAGCAAACACAAATTGGATTTATTTAGCGTCTAAATGCAACCGCGTATCGAGGGGAAAAATACAACTGTAGAGTATTTTCAGCTCGCGTTTGACAGCCTCTCGCCCAAATCACCGAATGTCTTTGTAAAAACAAAGCATTCGTGAACACAGTGCAGCAGTCCGGTTGTTTAGTATTCCCGCTCATCACAAACGACAGCCGACGGATGTGCATACACATCGATATTGAACCCTGAACAGAGGTGGAGGAGAGGTTGGGAATTCCCGATAAGACAATGACACCGCTACGCGCACCATGCACCCATTCGGATCAATGTCTGTCATGTTATCCAATCTATTATTTAAAAGCAACGATGTTAAATGCGCGCGCGTTACTATAATTCGGATTTTAAATAACGAGAGCTCGTCGCTGCTAAAGGGGACGGAGCGGTGGATAATTAAAAGCACACGTGTGTGCTTTATACTCTGAAAAGACGAGATGCGTTGTTGAAGCGCTGAGAGCACCAGGCTTTGAACCCAGCGACCCGAGTTCGATTCCCGGCAGTGATTAACATAAGTAGTGACTGATCGCCGATATCAGGACTGGCCCTCTCCCAGAGTGGTGAAGTATAGTCAAACAATGCAATGTCTTCATCCAAAAGTGGATTGATAAAGCTGGCGGTTGTGTTCATTTGAACTCACTTCTCAACCTTGTATCATCAGCATCATCAGCAACAAACAATGGTTAATCATTGTCACAAATCGTCATCAATGTCGTCATCATAATCACCTATCAACATTTTAACGTGCTCACTTGAATTTACTTTTGTGGCACGGCTATTTTCTTAAATCAGCTCTGCTGTATCCCTTGTTCAGAGAATGTTTGAAATACGTTTAGGAGAAATACAGCCCTAAAACAAACTACATTCCGTCGACAAATAAACATCTGCTTGTCGTAGTTTGTAGCGTGAGTATGTCCACCAATTGTTTGCACAGTTAACAAAGCACACTTAACAGGAAGATCAGACAAGTTCACGTCCTTATTTTTTGTTAAATCTGTAAAGTCGTTGTATAGAAAAACAAACGTCGCTTACCTGACGCAACTTCACTTGCTCCAAGAACGATCGTCACGAAAATACACACACATTTCGCGACACGAGTCACAAATGCCATTGCTGTCAAACTATATATCGATTAAATAATATACCTAAATATACGAGCTACTTTTTTTAAATATTGTTTTTCACTAAAGTGATTTGCAATTCAACGTTCTCCTTCAAAGACAACAATGCCTCTCTGCTCTATTGCTTCGAGACTCGATGTCAGCGTCCAGCGCTGAAACCTTTCCAAGGTTTTTTTTATTCCTCCCTCGTCTTGATCGTTCCTCAACAGTCCCAACGTCTTATATTTATCTCCGGGTAAGCTTGCGAAATTGTTCCTTGGGGGCGCTGCCGTGAGATATGACGCCCTGGCTTGAGTCCTGCAATTGTGTAGGATGTTGGCTGGGTACATAAGAATGTTTGCTTTACCTGAACAACCACCCGCACCTATACCTAGCCTCGCCCCAGTCACATGACCGACCGCCTGCCCACCGTTGCCAGATGCTTTTGGCAAAATAGCAGAGGGGGGAGTTAGGGTCGTTGGGTGTGTGTGTGTCTTTTGTGTGGGGAGCGGTAGTGTAGCGGCTAGCGCTACGCTGCGCTATGAATCCGGCGACCCGGGTTAGATTCCCGCTCACGGCCAACACCGGTGACGATTGATCTGAACCCGTGCTTGGCCTCGCCTAGGTCGACTCAGCCTCAAATGAGTTACTTGGTGCGGTGTGTAAACATCGCCACTGGGGAGACAAAGGCGGTTCTGGCGTGGTGCTGGCCACCCACCCCCACATGTACCGTTCCGGCCTTCATAGGTGCTCGCAAACAGCACTTGCCCCTACAGCCTGTTAAGGCTACACGGGGGATCTTTGTGTGTGTTTGTGTGCATGTGTGCCTCTGTTTTGTGTGTGCGCGCGCGCGGGGTGGGGAGCGGTGTTGCTGTGGTTAAGCGCAGTGAGCTGGGAAGCCGGTGTCCCGAGTTCGATTCCTGCCCACGGGTGACGATTATCTGAACTGGTCCTGGGCCTCCCCTAGGTCGACTCAGCTTCAAATGAGTACCTGGTGCGGTGATGTCAAACGTCGCCACTGGGGAGACAAAGGCGACAGGGCGTGGTTCTGGCCACCCACCCACTCGTGCGACGTGTGCCGGCCTTCATAGGTGCTACTCGCGAACAGCACTTGCCCCTACCTTCTGTTAAGGCGTTGTGGGGGATCTTTATCTTTGTGTGTGTGCGCGCGCGCGGGGAGCGGTGTTGCACTGGTGAAGGTCACTGCGACAACAAACCGGCGACACGAGTTCGATTCCCGTTCACGGCCACCAACACCGGTGACGATTATCTGGACCGGTCTTGGGCCACCCCTAGGTCGACTCAGCATCAAATGAGTTACGTGGTGCGGTGTGTAATCGTCACCACTGGGGGGACAAAGGCTGGCAGGGCGTGGTTCTGGCCACCCACCCACCCACTCGTGTGCCGTGCCGGGCTTAACGACACATTTATATTTACGCGATTTAACCCAAAAAAAACTAATCTTTATGGTTATTACACACACAGTAAGTAGGTATGTATGTTGAACTTCTTTCGCACCGTACGTAGCCAACAATCGGATGTGCGGATAGTCGCGATGGCTGCTCTATTTGAACCGTGAATCCTTCACAACTGTGAGCATCACAGTTTCGCGCTCTAACCCAAAAACCCTCTATTATGTGAGCATCACATTTTAACAGAACGAGAAAAAAGGCGCTTTAGCCTTCGTAAGCAAAAAAAACCCATTGTTGTTCTGATGTTTCGCGCTGTTATTTAAATACAGACGCAGACTCTGAAGTCGACTTTGAAAAGGCGTCTTCTACCCACCCGTGTCTGCTGGGAAGCAATATTCTCCAACGGGACTCTGGCACGCACAATTCTATACCTTTACGGTCATTGGAATTATCTACGGAGTTTTTTTTTGTCTCTTTACAAAGTTTTATCGCGATTTTGTTATCGCCGTGTGAGAATCATCCATCCATGTCCCTTGCCGAGGAGTACAAGGCTTCGTGTTGGATAACGGCCCAGCAAGCTGCATTCGAGGTCTCGTCAAGGGCCCTCTACTCCACACAATAACGTCACAATTTTTCACACCCGCTGCCATTGAGCGCAAAGTTAATCGCATAGCAATCAAACCGATTATTTCCCATTCACAGAGCTGTAATTTAGCCAAACTAAGTACAGAAAACTAAATTTAATATCTTGCCCGTTGTTTTTTGTTTGTTTGTTCACTTGCGGCCATGGGTTACCGGCTCGAGACCAACTACTCAATACCAGAGGTCGCAAACGGGTTTTGATTCCTTACCCGTACCCGTACCCGGCCGCACCAGGGTCGTAAACGGCCGTACCCTATCCGTACCCGGCCGGGTACGGGTAGGGTACGGCCGGGTACGGGTAGGGTACGGGTATCGGGTACCTGATTGCGACCTCTGGGATGAAGCCATGTTGCAGGCATGGGTGGGTTGATTCTATGAACTTGAATTGTGAGAAGAGACAAGACGTTGGGAAATGAGTGACAAACGGTGACTCACCAGTGACTCACGATCTACCCGTACGGGTATCGGGTACCTCTACCCAATACCCTTGAGAACTCGGGTTTATTTACCGGCGCCTGCGTCGATTCGAATCGGTGATCTCCAGCGGACGCCGGCTCAGCACTCCGCCCTCTGAGTCACCGGGCCAACGAAAGAATCGATGATAATCGATGAATCAATCTGTCAATACCCCCCCCCCCCACCGACAAAGTGAAGTAAGCCACGAGAAAAGCACCGCGTGATGATGACGATGACCACATAGAAAGCGATCGCCCCGTGTAGCATCAACAGGCTGTTGGGGGGAAAGTGCTGTTAGCGAGCACCTATGCAGCCTGGCACGGCACACTTGTGACGACAAAGATCCCCCTGTATAGCCTTAACAGACTGTTGGGGGAAGTTATGTTGTTAGCGAGCCCCTAAGAAGGCTGGAACCGTATACGAGCTGGGGGCAACACCACGCCCGGCCGCCTTTGTCTCCCTAGTGGCGATGATTACACACTGACGACACACACGCGAGGCCACACGCACGCTACCGTTCACAGTTCTATTTACGCAGCTATTTGATATATACATTTAAAGGTACAGTGGAAGAGCAACGCAACTGCCCATATTGATTCGCAGTGTGCACGCGACACCGATTGTGTAAACAAGCAGGAGATGGAGATATTAACTACCTCGCGTGGTACGGAGGAGGTCGTGGGTCTCATCCCGACCCTGACGCCTGCTGCTGTATATTTGTAGTTTGCGGTGTCTCTCTCTCTCCCCGTGGTCGTGTGGACTTTTCTCCGGGTCCACCGGTTTTTCCCTCCACGTTTAGCATCAACAGCACGCGTTTGGAGTATTTGGCTGCTACACTTCGTGGGACTATCATTTTTGACAGCCAGGTCGCTTCTGAAAAAAGAGCTATATAGCTCAGTGGGCCTTACCTGGTTTAAAAAAAATATATACTTTCGTTTAGTTTGTAGTTGTATTACCCCCCGTCCCCTCCAGCCCGGTTTCCAATGTGGATGCTGCTATTGAACGATCTGCGTGCAGGTCAGAGGTCGCAAACGGGTTTTGATTCCTTACCCGTACCCAGTCGCACCAGGGTCGCAATCGGGTACCCGTACCCTACCCGATACCCGGCTACCCGTACCCGGCCGGGTATCGGGTAGGGTACGGGTATGGGTACCCGATTGCGACCTCTGGGATGAAGCCATGTTGCAGGCGTGGGTGGGCTGATTCTAGGAACTTGAATTGTGAGAAGAGACAAGACGTTGGGAAATGAGTGACAAACGGTGACTCACCAGTGACTCACGGCCTACCCGTACCCGGCCGCACCAGGGTCGCAAACGGTAGCCGGGTATCGCGTAGGGTACGGGTATCGGGTACCCGGTTGCGACCTCTGGCCCCGTCAAGCCGTGCGGCTGTGGCTGGCATCGTACCGAGCGAACGCGGTCGCGAGGACTTCTCTCTCGTGGGAAGAAGTCAAACGCGGGAGGCTCGTTTTCAAGTCAAACCTGGGGGTAAGGTCGCCGAGAAAGTGCGGGGCTACATCTTCTTGTTGGGGAAGAGGCATGATTGATGGCCGATGCGTATGTCATTGACAAATGATGTATCACACCTCCAAGCTCACACTTATTTAAAGGGAATGTAAGCGAAACAAAACTTTACACATTCGTCAAGCCTTTAAAATTGTAATATATTTAAGTAATGAAACGTTTGGGTATGGGTCTGTCTTCAAAACACGGAAGAGGAATTGGTCACATTAATTTACATGCAAGAGTCTTGACGCTCTTTTTCAAGTCAAACCTGGGGGAGGTCGCCGATAAGATGTGGGGAGTGCACTGCGGGCTACGTCTTCTTGTTTCACTCGAATTGCAGTGAGTCAATGTGACTCACAATGAAAGCAAACTTTGCCAGTTTGCCATTATGCAACAGGTCGGTGGCAATTGTATGTGTCAAGCATGGGGCGTGAACAAAAATATAATCATTACAAAAACGAAATATAACCAAGAGCCGCAAAATAAACAAGAAGTGTTGTTACATTTTTCTGCGCGCATTGTGAAACTTCAAGATCATTGTTTGCCGTTATTACGGAAACACTGGCTTTCGGCCGCAGCCCAAACACCCATTCTCTAAAAGCACATCACTTCAGTTGGACATCACAGTGGACTGCTCTCGACTGTGTTCAAACACAAACAAGGCACACGTGACTCTCCAAACTGTGAATGCGGTGAGGTGGAAACGTCACTGACGACTGCCCCCCAACACTACATGCATATCAGCGCCTCCGATTCACACGGTTGGCTCCACGTATGGTGCAAAAGAAGTTCAACGTCCATGTTCCGATGGAACAAGCGGACTCCACTCATCTACTGGGGCTGCCGTGGGAATACCCACCGACATTAAACCTACATTTGCAGCTGGGTTATTTTGCCAACGCCATCCTGAAAGAGGGATGAGAAAATGAAAACGTTAGATTCCTTTCATCGCATCGCAACTCCTCTCCGAGGGAGGAGTGGGAGGTTGAGGACTTTGTGCAACTTGCGCCAATTGTCCATAACGCTGTGGGGCTGTGAGGAATGAGGTCAACAGGTGCCAATGCTTTAGCAGGCCCAGGTGATTGATGATTGGACTATGGAGACCACTTCGGGAGACAAGAGATACGTGTTATTGCGTAACGAAGAGTGTGTGTGTAGTTCGGTGTAAATAAGCATCATGGATCACTGAACTGAACCCTGAGCAGTTCGGGACAAAAAAATAGTTGTTGACTTTTGAGCACAGCTGACTGAGAGTGAACTTTGTGGCAACACAGAATAAGAAATGTTGAAGTCCAGAGGAGAAGAGGGTAGATAAGTGTTGGACTCGGCAATAAGGGTTGCGCTGGGTGGGATGTGTGTATGATGCACGCATT